ACTGGCTCCCGGTGGAGTACAGGATCAGGTTTAAGGTGCTGGTTTTAACCTTTAAAGCCTTTCACTGCCTAGGACCCTCGTACCTACAGGGCCGCCTCTCCTGGTATGTCCCACGGAGGACCTTACGGTCTTCAAACAAAAACATCTTGGAGGTCCCGGGCCACAGGGAGGTTAGGCTGGCCTCAACCAGAGCCAGGGCTTTTTCGGCCGTGGCCCCGATCTGGTGGAACGCTCTGTCACAAGAGACCAGGGCCCTGCGGGACTTGACATCTTTCCGCAGGGCTTGCAAGACAGAGCTGTTCCACCAGGCCTTTGGCCAAGGCACAGTCTGACCCCCTCCTTCAGTAATCCTCACAGAACTCTAGCCCAATGGTTGCCATTAATTTGATTTTGAATTGATTTTAGAACGACTTGATTTTAGAATGCCATGTTACTTTTATTGTTGTTAGATGCTCTGAGCCCGGCTTCGGTTGGGGAGGGCGGGATATAAATAAAATTTTACTTTATTATTATTATTTATGAACAGTAAAAGAAAGCGAGGGGATATTGTTAAGGACAGGGGTCGGCAAACTGAGGGCTGCGGGCCAAATCAGGCCCAATGGCCTTCAGGATCCGGCCTGCAGACTGTCCGTGGATCAGCGTGAGGATTCATTTCCCCCCTCCCACCTCCTGGCAGCGCCTCCTCCCTCCCTCCTCCTGGCTTCTCCCTGCCGTGCCTAGAGAATGAAGGGGGCTGGGCTGAGCTGGCTGAGCGCCATTTTAAGCAGCCCCTCTCCGGAGCCAGCCCTTTCGTGCCGCTCATCTTCCCTCCGCCGTTGCTGCCCTGGTGCTCCAGTGGTCCAGAGAGCGGAGCGGACGACCTCACTCTGCCTACCCATAAGAAGCAGTGGCGGCAGCGGCGGCAGCGGTGGTGGCAGTCCCTAGAAGGCAAGTCCAGCGGCTGGGGCTGGAGCTGGGGGTTGGGGAGGAGGACTACTTGCCCCCCTCGCCTCTTCTTCCAGCTCCCGCCCCCCCAGTGCTGCTTCTCCGGCCCGCCACAAGGTCTGAGGGACAGTGGACCAGCCTGCGGCTAAAAAGATTTGCCGACCCCCTGGTTAAGGAGATAAGAAGAGCCAGCCAAATCAGGCCCATGACCCATCTAGTCCAGTCTTCTCTTCTCACAATAGACAACCAGACGCTTGTGGGAAACCCATGAGCAGGATTCGAACACAAGAGCATCTCTCCTGTGGTTTCCAACAACGGGTATTCAGAAGCCTTGCTGCCTCTGGGTGCAGAATAGAGCCACTGTGGCTAGTAGCCATCGAGAGCCCTCTCGAGAGCCAATGTGGTGTAGTGGTTAAGAGCGGTAGACTTGTAATCTGGGGAACCAGGTTCGATTCCCCGCTCCTCCACATGCAGCTGCTGGGTGACCTTGGGCCAGTCACACTTCTCTGAAGTCTCTCAGCCCCACTCACCTCACAAAGTGTTTGTTGTGGGGGAGGAAGGGAAAGGAGAATGTTAGCCGCGTTGAGACTCCTGAAGGGGAGTGATGAAGCGGGATATCAAATCCAAACTCTTCGTCTTCTTCTCTCCTCCATGAATTTGTCTAACCATCTTTTAAAGTCATCTAGAGGGGGAAAGGTTAAAAAAAGGTAAAGGGCCCCTGGATGGTTAAGTCCAGTGAAAGGTGACCATGGGGTGTGGCACTCATCTCGCTTTCAGGCTTTGTCCAAAGACAGCTTTCCAGGTCATGTGGCCAGCATGGCTAAACCTCTTCTGGTGCAATGGGACACCGTGATGAGTGCCAGAGCGCATGGAAATGCCGTTTACCTTCCCGCTGGAGCGGTACCTATTTATCTACTTCCACTGGTATGCTTTTGAACTGCTAGGTTGGCAGGTGCAGGGACAGAGCAACAGGAGCTCACCCCGTCACGGGGATTCGAACCACCGACTTTCTGATTGGCAAGCCCGAAAGGCTCAGTGGTTTAGACCACAGCGCCACCTAGAACTTATGGGCAGCCAATAAAACTGAAAGTTGGAAGATTCGAGACACATAAACTATGCAGCGCGTAGTTAAATTATGGAGGCAGTAATGGCCACCAACCCAGAAGACTTTAAAAGAAGATTGGGCAAATGCATGGAGGAAGAGCTATCAATGGCTATCAGTCAGGACGGCTTGGCTCTGCCTCTGACTGTGGCAGCAGCACTTCTGAATACCCTTTGCTGTGGGGGCCACAGGAGGGGAGAGATGCTCTCATGATCGAATTCTGCTTACAGGATTCCCACAGGCATCTGAGAAGAGGGTGCTGGACTAGATGGGCGCCATTGCCATTATTATAAGAGAACAAGAGAGGCCTTCGTGGTGAGGTCCAGCAACTCTTTTTCTAGAAAAATGCCCCTGGTTAGAACATTAGAGGAGTCTGGTGGATGAGGCCAGTGGCCCACCTGGACCAGTGGCCAGATCTCCCAGTGGCCAGCCACATGCCTGTAGCAGTGAAAAAAAGACAGTCACGGAACCAAGAAATTACACAAAACAAAAGAATTACCGAGAAAATCCCTGAAACGAGAAGTAATCGACTTGTAAAACTTGTAAAACTTGTCGTTGAGGTTTTGATACCCTTTTTGTAAACTCAAGGAAGCGTTTCAGCCCTGCTCTTGAGTTTGTTTGATATCACTTTAAATCATTTAAGGTTTATATTTTCTTTATTTCCTTCTGAGGAAACTGATTTGTTCAGTGAAATGAGTTTTGTAGCCGGCATCTCGTTAAGTCTTTAATTCTAGGTTAACTTTTCCTTAATTTTTTAAATTTTTGTTATTTAATTCAATTCTATAGTCGATTACTTCTCGTTTCAGGGATTTTCACGGTAATTCTTTTGTTTTGTGTACATGCCTGTAGCAAGCAGGATTCGAACACAAGAGCGCTCTCTCTTCTCCAGCAAATGGCATTCAGAAGCGCTGCTGCCTGTGACCTTGCAGGCAAAGCATAGCCCTATGTCATGAGGCACAAAGAGTGTTGCGTGTGCATGTCTGCGTGTTGCCCAGGCTCTCCCCACAGTGCGAGGCACAACAACTTCCTTTTCAAACCCCACGCAGGTCCATGCACAATCTCTCGCTCTAATACTTTTGCTGTGGCTCCTCGCCTCCTCTGCCCCAGCCCTTTTGCCAAATGTTCCATGGCTTGTTTTCTTGTTCCCCGATCCTCCTTGGGGAGGCTTAAATTGGTCACCTGAGAGCGCAGTACCGCCTCCCCAAGGACATCCCTCCTGCCATTTCTGAAGTCATCCAAAACACCACTGGAGTCTGGAGGGTCCCAATTAGAGAGCGGTAACCGGATCAGACACAGAGTCTGGCAGGGGACACATTAGCCGGCTGCGTACCTCCTTCTCCTCCTCCTCCTCTTCTGCCAAATTCTTGTTGATGTGTCTTCCACTGCCTGCCTTGCCCCAGGGAGAGCCTACTTAGCTCAGCTCTGCAAAGTGGCTCCATCCTGCCCCCTGGAAGCCACTCTGCCAAATAGCACCCACAGAAAGCACCTTGCTTGACTCCTGGGCCAGAAGGAGAAACACAACGGGCTTATCCACATTAATATCTCGCCCGGCTTTTTCCAGGCACAGACGACACCTTAAAGCTCAGTGTCGGAACGTTGGTTTAATCCCATTTATTCATTTTGCCCTGGAGTTTTTCCTGAGGAAACCCACTCTTAAAAGCTGAAGCTCCGCAAACGGCAATTCAGCTTTTATGCAGATTGCCGTTTGCTCCGACTGAGCTTTAAAATCACAGCATTGAAGGGTTGGAAGGGACCCTGAGGGTTAATTCTGTGTCCAGGGCAGCTGTCTACCAGCTCCATCTGGTACGCAGGCTGAGACCCTCCCTGCCCACAGACTGTCTCGCCAGAGTGGTACATGCTCTGGTTATCCCCCGCTTGGACTACTGCAATGCGCTCTACGTGGGGCTACCTTTGAAGGTGACTCGGAAACTACAGCTAATCCAGAATGTGGCATCTTGAGTGGTGATTGGGGGTGGCCGCCGAGACCACAAAACACTGGTCTTGAAAGACCTACACTGGCTCCCAGTTAAGTTTCCAAGCACAATTCAGTGTTGGTGCTGACCTGTAAAGCCCTAAAAGTCCTCAGTCCAGTATACCTCAAAGAGCGTCTCCACCCCCATCGTTCAGCCTGGACACTGAGGTCCAGCTCCGAGGGCCTTCAGGCGGTTCCCTCATTGCAAGAAGCAAAGCTACAGGGAACGAGGCAGAGGGCCTTCTCGGTGGTGGCACCCGCCCTGTGGAACGCCCTCCCACCAGATGTCAAAGAGATAAACAACTACCTGACATTTAGAAGACATCTGAAGGCAGCCCTGTTCAGGGAAGTTTTTAATGTGTGACATTAATGTACTTTTAATCTTTGTTGGAAGTCGCCCTGAGTGGCTGGGGAAATCCAGCCAGATGGGCAGGGTACAAATAATAAATTATTATTATTATTATTATTATTATTATTATTATTATTATGCGCTGCTCACAAAAACAGCGCTGGGCCTGGCTCACAATGCCCCTGAACTGCTGCGTTCCCCTCCCCCAGCCACCCTCTGGCAGCCAAGAAGGATGGAGCAGGCACATTCCTGCCCCCTGGCGCTGGGCTTGCAGGGCACCCGAGCTGCCATCCTCCCAGCTGCCTTCCAGCTGGAGGTCGCCTGCTAGGGACTCCGTGGCTCGGGTGCCCTGCAGGCCCAGTGCTGCCCGGTTTGGGGCCCGGATCATGCCAATCACGTCCCCCTCAGCCACCCTCAGTCGCTCTGCCTGAGCTCCCAGCCCCCAGGCTGCGCGTATTCAAACTGTGCAACTCTCTCTTCTCATAGCTGTGGGGCCTTTTGGATCCAATCCCCAGCATTTCAGAGCTCGGAAGGCGATACACGAATCTCCCTTTGCCTCCTCAGCACCCTGCAATCTCAACGGGAAAGGAGATCCATCGTGAGGTTATAACTTTGGACTGTTTTATTCGGAGAAGTTCGGCCAGGAGGGCCGTTTACCATGTGAGCTGGAAGATTTTGATGGAGACCGGTATTAGGATCCTCTTTGTGAAGAAGAAGATGAGGATGGGAGGGACCAGGGAGAGGACGAAGGCGAAGAGCGAGGGAAGCAGCCGCCCGAAGAAGGTGTCCAAGATGGGCCGAGTCGACCTGGCGAACAAGACGATGGAAGGGATCACATGGTCGTAGATGATGAAGAAGGGGAGGAGGAGGAAGAAGAGGAGGACGAAGCTTATGCGGAGGAGGAGGTCGCAGAAGAGGAGCGTGAAGAAGATGGAGAGAAGCTTCCGGAAGCAGCGGAAGATGCCTCTCAAGGTGATGCGGAAGGCCATGCTCTGCCAAAGGGTCTGCCTGGGAGCTCACTCGGCGTGGGCAGTTGGCTGTGGAGACTCCTCAGCTGTGGCACCGTCCCTGCAAGGGAGGAGAGAGAGGACTGGAGGATCATGGGAGCACGAAACATGGGTTGGAGGAAAGACCGTTGCCCATCCGCTTCCCGCCGTGTCTACATTTTGCGGTGATATAACTGATTGGACGCCATCCTGAAATTCTAAACAAAATGAAGGGTAGGGACTCAGCTAGGTAAAGGTAAAGGTTCCCCCGCCCGTACGGGCCAGTCGTGTCCGACTCTAGGGTTGTGCGCCCATCTCACTTAAGAGGCCAGGGGCCAGCGCTGTCCAGAGACACTTCCGGGTCACGTGGCCAGCGTGACGAAGCTGCTCTGGCGAGCCAGCACCAGCGCAGCACACGGAAACACCGTTTACCTTCCCGCTATAAAGCGGTACCTATTTATCTACTTGCACTTAAGGGTGCTTTCGAACTGCTAGGTGGGCAGGAGCTGGGACCAAAAGATGGGAGCTCACCCCGCCGCGGGGATTCGAACCGCCGACCATGCGATCGGCAAGTCCTAGGCACTGAGGTTTTACCCACAGCGCCACCCGCATCCCTCAGCTATACAGCTGCATATAAAACGTTTCAGGTGTGTTTTAAGTGCAATATGCAATGTGGCACTAGATGGTGATAGTGAGCCTTATGGGAAATTCAATATTATTGTTATTTTTAAAAGCATTTTCAGAACGGTTTTTATATGCGTGTAGATTCCACCTAGGATTTAAACATGCCTTGATTCTGGAATTCTCTGGATACTGAATCCTGTGGCTTGTATCAGTCTCTATACTTGTGCAATGACGTTACAGAATCCAAACATTTGCAACCGATAAGCAGTAGAGCAGTGGTAAGTTCAGGAATGAAAGGCTGCTCTACTTTACAGCCACAGCCACATCCCCTTCTAAAATTATACGAGCTTCGAAGATCATACCCATATCTCATAATTATACAATAATACAGTGAAAGCTCGCATTGCGAATGTGAGCTGTATGGGATGCACATTTGCAAACCACAGCATTCGCAACCCACAGTGGCGCATCGGCGCACACGTGGGTTGCGATTCGGCGCTTCTGCACATGCGCAAAGCGCGATCCCCGAAACCCGGAAGTAACCTGTTCTAGTACTTCCAGGTTTTGGCGGGTCCGTAACCCGAAAAAAACGCAACCTGAAGCGTCTGTTACCCGAGGTATGACTGTAATAATTAGAGACGCAACCATCTCTACAGATCTCCACATGTTACCTTTCAGCTAGAGCCACTATTTTCCATGCATGTACATGGACATACGATTTGGAGTGCTCCAATCTCGTTTTTCCTAATTGACTTGTATTTTCCTATACACAGCAGAACTTGAGCACCATTTTTCTTGTAATGGAAGTGCCTTGTGTTCCTCAATCCTTGGCTTTGCAGCATACAGAAAAACAACTCAGTGTTCGTCCCAAACACTTTCTCCAGCGTGACCCTAGGAGCCAATCCTCAGTGGCCGACTCACCTCCTTTCACTCTGATTGGCTCCCATCAGCACAAGGGGTGAGAATGCTTTCTCTCAGTGGCTAAAGAAAATCCCCTTTCTTGCTGAATGGGTGGCTCTAGAACCCTGGAATTAGGAAGCCTGCTGTAGAAACAGGAGCGGGTCTTCAACCCCCTATGACCCCAGATCACGACCAGTGGCATCGCAACAGGGGGCGGGGGGCAGTGCGCCCCAGGTGCTATGTTTGGGGGTTGACAAGAAGGCACGCCACGGGGGCTCGCGGCGGCGCAAGCAGCCATCACACCACCCCAGCCACATATGAAGGATCCTCTGTTCACGGCTGCATCCGCAAGCACAGGATCCCAACGCTGGCAGCAAACTGCTACATACAGCACATGTGCGGCATCGCATGCATGCACTGTACAAACGACAATGCACATGCGCTGTACATAGCGGTCTGCTGGCGGCGGTGCTCCAGTGCCCTCCTTTACTGCTACAGCTGCAAGCAGAGGATCCTAGCACCATCCATACGGCACTGGAGCGCCGGTGCCGGCAAACCGCTATGTACAGCTCATGTGCAGCATCACTACGTACAGCGCATGCGTCGTACATAGCGGCGCCGCATATGTACCCTATGTAGCGACACCCCGCCCCAGGTGTCATGACGCCTTTATTCGCCCCCTGATCACGACACCTCTTCCAATAAGTCCTTGGTTCATCACCACCACTGAAAAGCCATAAATCTCCAGTCCTTCATCGCCTCCCCTTTTCTTTCTGATCATTATTCATTGAATCATAGAATTGCAGAGCTGGAAGGGACCCGGGGGTAATCCAGCCCAACCCCCTGCAATGCAGGAATCTCAACTGAAGCATTCATGATAGATGACCATCCAACCACTGCTTAAAAGCCTATGAGGAAGGAGAGATTGTGTATCTCTGCTCGAGAACCTGCGAGGCAGGGGTGGGGAGACTCTGGCCAAACAGATGTTGCTGAACTACAACTCCCATCATCCCCAATGTGTTTAGAGTTGTAGTTTAGAGATGAGCTTAGCAACACCTGGAGGTGTGGGTCAGCTACCTCTGCAGGTGCCAAAGGTTCTCCACACCTGTCTCCCAGGCAGTAATTTAGCCAGATAGAGAAGATTCCCCAAACCAGGTAATAATAACAAGCACTGGGCAAGGCATCTCCTGCCTGATTCTTTGAGTCAAGCCAACTTTCTGAAAGGGCTTGTCCACCCAACGGCCATTTGTTCCAATTCAGCGCTAAACCGCAGGGGAAAGTGGCCATTTGTCAGGAGTTCTTCAGCTGGGATTCCTGCACTGCAGGGGTTTGGACTAGATGGCTCCTGGGAGTACCTACAATGCTATGGCTAAAGGTTTTGACCTTTAAAGTCCTATGTGGCCTAGGACCCATGTACCTACGGGACCGCCTCTCCTGGTATGCCCCGTGGAGGACCTTAAGGTCCACAAATGACAACATTTTGGAGGTCCCAAGTCGCAAGGTGGTTAGATTGGTTTCAATTAGGTCCAGGGCCTTTTCAGCACTGGCCCCGACTCGGTGGAACGCTCTGTCACAAGAGACTAGGGCCCTGAAGGACTTGACATCTTTCCGCAGGGCCTGCAAGACAGAGCTGTTCTGCCTGGCCTTTGGTTTAGACTCAGTCTGACCCTTATGTTTCCCTCCCCTTATGGTCTTGATTTATCGGCTACTTTAAACTGAGACTGCATTTTAAATTGCATTTTAACCTGTATTTTAAATTGGGGGTTTTTTTCCCCCTCTCTTTCCCCCCTATTATGTTTTTACTGTGATTTTATTGGTGTTAGCCGCCCTGAGCCCGGCTCTGGCTGGGGAGGTCGGGGTATAAATAAAATTTATTATTATTATTATTGAAGTGAAGGACATGAGGCAGGAGTTGATAATGCAGGTGAGCTGCGCGCAAGTGAGCTGCAAGCAAGCTGCCGGCCAGCTCTATGGAGGCTGCTTTTATTGACACAATATGCAAATATGTTAGCCGTCCTGAGCCCGGCTCTGGCCAGGGAGGGTGGGGTATAAATAAAATTTATTATTATTATTGAAGTGAAGGACATGAGGCAGGAGTTGATAATGCAGGTGAGCTGCGCGCAAGTGAGCTGCAAGCAAGCTGCCGGCCAGCTCTGTGGAGGCTCCTTTTATTGACACAATATGCAAACCCAGGCAGATACATTTTGGGCTGTGGCCTTTACAAGTCTGCCAGTCCCGAGATCGTGGGGTGGTACAAAGCTATTTTGGCACCTGTTTCCACCTGAGACAAAGGTCTCAGAGACAAAGGTTACAGACAGGACACCACAGACTACTGAGAACGCAAAAGGTTAGACAGAGGGCAAGATGTTCAGAAAGCTGTGGCTTTATCTGTGAGGGGGAGTGTGCCCCACATCCCAAGGTCGCGCATGCACACAGCTGAGGTTGCCTGTGGGCAGGGAGTGTGCTCCGCACCCAGCGATCATCCCTACAATTATTATTATCCCTACAATTATTGTTGTTGTTGTTGTTGTTGTTATTACTCTGTGAAGTCCCAGGACTCGGGGACCGGGGAGTGGCAACAATGCTAGAGAGCGAAAGGCAAACAGGTGAGAAGGATCCTTCCTGCTTCTAACCTGACTTGCCCGATGCAGTGAAGTGGACCCACCTTGTTCCTCGCACCATCTGCACCTTGCCCTCTGTCCCATTGGCCTGCCTGCCTGACCTCACGCCCGACCTCTGTCCGTCTTCCAAATGAGTGGAGCCCTCTCTCCTGCCATGGTTCCTCAACAGCCTTGGGCCGCTGCCAGGGCTGTGTGAGCATGGCACCTCTGTCACCCTGTCATGCTTCCTTCCGGTGATGTCACAAATGGGTGTGGTCTTAATGGAAGGCCCAGCTGACTCCAGGCTGGCAGGAAGTGAGGAAAGGGCACTGGGAGGCAAGTCCAGCAGCGCGGTGTCACTGCCGTTTGAGATGGTGCTGAAAGCCACTGGACGTGGGTGTTCAATGGTTTAGGCTTTGGTGATAAGCCTCATGTGGGTCGCCGGCCCTTCAGAAAGATGCCACCCAACCTAAGAAGATTCAAAGTCAGCACAGCTGCATTCTTGAGGCAACCATGTGATTCTGAGGCCCAAAAGGCCAATACGGTACCAAGTTGTCCCAACATGAGCATGGTTTCCTGGTGATTGTTGTAGGAAATCTGCTAATCCCTAATTCCTGACGCATCCAGCCTCTGCTTGTAAAGACCCCTAATGAAACAGAGAGTCCACTATGTTTTGAGGCAGCCTGTTGCACTGTTGAGCAACAGGCATTGTTGAATGTCCATCCTACTGTTTTGGGGAAATTGCGGCCAAACATAACTATGTATGAGTACTAGTTAGTGCATGAAGGAGTTAAGACCACAGAGTGAGATTCCTAGACACAGCTAGGTCAACCCCCTCTTCTCCAAAGTAGGTGGAAGTGAAACCTTCTCTTCCCTCTATCTCCACAACATGTAACTGACCATGGAAGATGTGTCTAAGCAAGCTGCAAGCCCAGAGCATGTGTTTGAAGCTATGTTGCTGTATTTCCTATCCAAGAGTATTCTGCCTGTGTTCTCCTTGCTGCTGCTTGAATAAATGCATGAATCTGACCTTTGAATTTGTAAGTAAAGCGTCTAAACTTATTTAGCAGTGTGTAGTCTGTTCGCTGCAAGAGGAGTAGAGAGAGGAGGGTGCTTTGCAAGTGGGTTAAACAGGACAAAAGCTTTAGCAGCCTGCAACCTTCTGATCATCAAGTCCTAGGCTCTGTGGTTTAACCCACAGCACCACCCGCATCCCTGGTTTTCGCCTACCTGGTAGCAAATCGTCACAACTTTCTTGGTATTGGCAATTAGGCATTGGTATTGTTCTGTAGGTGGAAAAGGGGAGGTAACACCATCACCTGCCCCGCATATTGAAGGGAAGTCCGTTAATGGATTCCGGGGGGCGTGGCCATGTCTGAAGCCTGGGGAGGTGAGGGCCTAAGGCACGCCCCATAGCAGTGACCCCGGGGGAGTTCCTAGTTGATGTGCATCAGCAGGACTCCCCCTACTGGTGGTTAACCCTTCCCAGACTTCAAGCGGACGGGCTGAAGCCGGATATAGTCGGTTAGGACCAATGCCTAAGGCAATACCGCTCATCACCTGTAACCAATAAAGTTGTGGCCTTATTTAGCCCATTAACCTTAATAATCATGTCATGTGTCATTATTTCCACTGGGGGGGGCGCGGAACTCGCCACGCAAGCAGGAGCTCAGACCACGCGGCTGGTTCATGTTGCTTGTATTGAGCTGGATTCTCAGGACCGCCATCCTCACCAGGCCAGCCGCAGCAGCCTGAAATAGCTGGGGAGCAGGAAGAGGTGCAGGCAGCAGCCGGCGGTCAGCGGCAGCAGCAAGGCACCCAGGAAAATCAGAAGGGCCCCAAGCACTTCGTTGTAGAAGACTTCTGTGGCGGGAGCCAAGGCATCCATGAAGACCAGGGAAGCAGGGACCATGCGGTCGTGCAAGACGGCGAGTGGGATGGAGAGGGAGACGACAACGTGGAACATGATCTCCGCCAGGAAGATGCTGTAGACCAGCACGGCCAAGATGAGCAGCGTCTGCTCCAGGGCCCCCAGGATCTTGCTTGCGATGGAACGCAGGCCGAGGAAGGTCTTCGACCTCGGAGACAGAGGGGCCTTCTCCTCGGGTGACACATTCAGCCTAGAGGGGGCAGAAAAGGAGGCAAGGGAACGCGTGACCTCGTTTGCTCTTTGAGGGTATGTGATAAAGCAACAGCCGACAGGGAACAAAACAGAAGGAATGGATTGTGAATTACAGTGGCACCTTGGTCCACAAACTTAATCCGTTCCGGAAGTCCGTTCCAAAACCAAAGCGTTCCAAAACCAAGGTGTGCTTTCCCATAGAAAGTAATGCAAAATGGATTAATCCTCCCAGACTTCTAAAAACAACCCCTAAAACACCAATTTAACATGGATTTTACTATCTGATGAGACCACTGATCCATAAAATGAAAGCAATAAGCAATGAGCAGCAGTCACACAATCAATCAATCGGTAGCTGAACTGGGTTCCACACAGTCACAAAAACCAACAAAAGAGAGCCGCAAAAACAAAAACGCAAAATAAATGGCAAAAACAGATAGACCTCAATGTAACACTCAAAAAGGACGTGTGACACTCAAACTGGAAGCAAAACACTCAAAACGGGAGCTCATCCCGTTGCGGGGATTCAAACCGCCAACCTTCTGATCAGCAAGCCCAAGAGGCTCAGTGGTTTAGACCACAGCACCACCCACGTCCCTAGGTTACCTTAGGACATCCCTATTTTCATTGGAGAAATGTTAGAGGGTCTGGAGTTATGTGACCCCCGAGCCAAGGAGATAAGTAACTATACAACCTTTAGAAGACATATGAATGCAGCCCTGTATAGGGAAGGTTTTTAATGTTTAATTTTAATATGTTTTTATATATGTTGGAAGCCACCCAGAGTGGCTGGGGAAACCCAATCAGATGGGCGGGATATAAATAATACAATTGTTGTTGCTGCTGCTGCTGTTGAATAGGACATCCCTATTTTCATCTGAGGAATGTTGGAGGGTATGTATAAACCAGAAGTGAGAAATCTCAGTCCTAGGGGGCTGAATTTAGCTCCCCAGGCTAAGCATTCCGGAATCCTGGTCTGGATTGAGGAACGGATCTTCCATAGACATTATGCAGCCCTCTCCAGATGGCCCTCAGAGCTCTCCCAGGCCACATTCATCACACAAAAAAGGTAAAGGACCCCTGGATGGTTAAGCCCAGTCAAAGGCGACTATGGAGTTGTGGCGCTCATCTCGCTTTCAGGCTGAGGGAGCTGGCATTTGTCCACAGACAGCTTTCCGGGTCATGTGGCCAGCAGGACTAAACGGCTTCTGGCGCAAAGGGACACAGTGATGGAAGCCAGAGCACACAGAAACGCCGTTTACCTTCCTGCCACAGTGGTACCTATTTATCTACTTGCACTAGTGTGCTTTCGAACTGCTAGGTTTGCAGGAGCTGGGACAGAGGAACGGGAGCTCACCCTGTTGTGGGGATTCGAACCACTGAACTTTCTGATTGGCAAGCCCAAGAGAGGTATTTTGGCCTGGCTGCACTGTGTCCTTGGACTCTGAGCATGCCTCGTGTTCACCTGTTTAGGTGATACAGGGATTGTACATAAACTAGGCTACTCTACTTTGTTGGCATTCATCTGGCTCCAGTCATCTGTTGGAGTCTATGAGTCCTTGTTTTGGGATTTGCCCACTGAGAATCACCCTAAGAGCTCCACATACAGAGGCACCGCGGCAATCTCCTACTCACCGACTGCCTTCTGAACGAGCCATTTCTATCCCTGGGTGTTGTCCTCCCACACGCAGCCTGTCTTCATTCCTTCATCCAGATCTTTCCCCTCTCAGCTGGGCTCCAGCTCTTACCAGCCAAACAGCTCTTGTGGCCTCTGCAAGGTCCATTATCCTGGTGGGACAAGCAAGCTGATGACCACATCACCTGGCGCTGATGTCATAAATTAGGTTGGGTAGCCCAGAGGCTGGCTAAAAGGGGCCAGGTGGTGGAAGCATCTCAGCTCCTTCACCCAGTTAGATCAAAGGCACAGGATCACAGGAAGCTGCCATATACAGAGTGAGACCCATTCACAGACCCTCTAAGTGTCCCTGTTTTCCAGATGTTCTACCACATTCCCTCGCTGGTGAAAGAATTGCACTGGTTCCCTGTTTGCTACCAGCAGGGGTACCAACTCCTGGGGGTCGAGCCCATTCTGAGATCCCCTTCATTTTGGGCTAGGGGATGCTCCCCACCCCAAAACAGCTTTGGCCCAGTATACCTGAAGGAATGTCTCCACCCCCATCGTTCAGCCCAGACCCTGAGGTCCAGCTCCGAGGGCCTTCTGGCAGTTTCCTCACTGCAAGAAGTGAAGCTACAGGGAACCAGGCAGAGGGCCTTCTTGGTAGTGGTGCCCTCCTTGTGGAACACCCTCCCATCAGATGTCAAGGAAATAAACAACTATCTGACTTTTAGAAGACAGCTAAAGGCAGCCCTGTTTAGGGAAGCTTTTAATGTCTGATGTTTTATCCCGTTATTATTATTATTATTATTATTATTATTATTATTATTATCATTAATTCTGTTAGGAGACACCCAGATGGGCTGGGTGTAAATAATACATGGTGGTGGTGGTGGTGGTGGTGGTGGTGGTATCCAAAAAGCACGGGTCAAATACATGTTGGAAGTGTAAAGAAAAAGAAGGGACTTTTTATCATATGTGGTGGGAATGTAGAGAAGTTAGGGGGGGGCGGAATGATATATAATGAATTGAAGAAAATGTTTAAAATGACATTTGTTAAAAAACCAGAAGCATTTTTGTTAGGGATTGTAGGACAAGACCTGCCAAGGAAAACAAAGAATTTCTTTATCTATGCAACAACAGCAGCAAGAGTCTTGATAGCACAAGGATGGAAGAATGAGAAAACCCCGAAAAAAGAACAGTGGCAAGAGAAATTTATGAACTACGCAGAATTGGCTAAACTGACATACAAACTGTGAGATAAGGACAGCTGTGACTTTAAAGCAGAATGGGAACGTTTCACAAGTTACTTAAAAAGACAAAAAAATGAATTGGACTCCTTGGCAGGTTTTGAATAAACATACACAAATTTGTTGATTGATAACATGGTAGACAGATAACGTAAAGATTTATACAATGTTACAGTATGCAGAGAATAATATGTGCTGAGAAATCAGAGAGAGGAGCTGAGGGAAGTCTTTGGAGGAGGGGAGGGAGGGTTTGGGGGGGAAAGGGGAGAAAATAATTAATATGATATGTTTTGATATGTTGTTATGTTGAAATTGCTAATAAAAACATTTATGGGGGGGGAGCACGGAGGTGAAGCAAGGAGCCGACTGGAGCCCAGGTCTGGTGGCTGGCTCCTTCTCCTCTGCCTTGGAGGGGAAAGAGACAGTGCCAAGAGCTGGTGGTGAAGTCACCAGCCATTGAAGCCATGCAGCCGCCATGTTTGTGTCCGGATCTCAGGCCAACACGAGCAAGGCCAACAAGAACTAATGAGCCTCTGGCAGTTTTATGGTACGTTTATTTACAATTTACACGCAGAGAGCAGCACCAGGCCACCCACCGTTTGGTCACGAGTTGCTCACTCTGAATCTCCACCCCTGCTGCAACACGGAGAGTGCCAACACCCTGTCTTCCTCTCTTTTGCATTTCTGTTGTAATTTAATCCTTTCAGCCCTCCTAGAGCGAAGAGAGGGGCGGTGGACTTCTCCTCCACTCTCAAATGAGGAGTCCTCCACATGCTGCCTCCCTTCTGGTTGCATAGCAAGCCCCTCAAGGCTGTCTGTTTCCTCCCCTTCTGAGGCTGCTTGTCTGTCTGCAGCTGGGAACTCTGGAGAAAGCAGGGCCAAACTAACCCATTCTTGCTCTAACTGTGATTGCATTCTCTCATCTCCCATGTCAGACTCTTCCCCGGCATCTGACTCAACCACGTCTCTGAAACCTTGGCTCCACCCCGCTCCTCCCAATGTTATGTGTGCAACATTGCCACCCACCCACCCATCGCCCTTGCAAGCTGGCACCTCTGGCTACCAGGATGAAATATACTCGAAGTCGAAAGTGGATTTCATGCTCTTTATTCAGCTCATGGAAGTTCCCCCAGAATGTCTGCTTTATATACATTATTTACACAATGGGCCCCACGTGACTGGCTAATTCTGGGATTCACCTGTAGGCCAATCAGGTTGTGGATTCACTTCCACCTGGAGCTGGATTGGGTGGCTCCTGTGGACCAATCAGACTGCTGCCTTTTGGATCCTATTCAACTCAGTACATAACACAGGATAGGTCCAGTGTACTGATTTTAGTGCACAGTGGTACCTTGGTTCTCAAAACTTAATCCGTTCCGGAAGTCCGTTCCCAAACCAAAGCATTCCAAAACCAAGGCGTGCTTTCCCATAGAAAGTAATGCAAAATGGATTAATCCATTCCAGACTTTTGAAAGCAACCCCTAAAACAGCAATTTAACATGAATTTTACTATCTGACAAGACCATGGATCCATAAAATGAAAGCAATGAACAATGTACTGCAGTCATACAACCAAGCAATCAGTAGCTGAACTGGGCTTCATACAGTCACAAAAAACAAAACATAAAAGAGCCACGAAAATACAGTCATACCTCATGTTGTGTTTGCTTCAGGTTGAGCATTTTCAGGTTGCGTCCCATGGCGACCCGGAAGTACCGTAAAGGGTTAATTCCGGGTTTCACCACTCACGCATGCGCAGACGCTCAAAATGGCATCATGCGCATGCGCAGAAGCGGCGAATCGCAACCCGCGCAGACACGGGTTGCGTTCTGCTCAGATTGCGAACGGAGCTCCAGAACGGATCCTGTTCGCAAGCACAGGTACCACTGTAAAAATGCAAAATAAATAGCAAAAACAGACAGACCTCAGTGTAACACTCAAAACGGAAGTGTGGCACTCAAATCGGAAGCGTAACACCCAAAACGGAGCACGTTCGGTTTCCGAAAAAAGTCCGCAAACCGGAACACTTACTTCTGATTTTGCATTGTTTGGGTTCCAAGTTGCTTGAGTACCAAGGCGTTTGAGAACCAAGGTACCACTGTAAGCCATATGAAGCATGGAAGCTGAATACGTAAAATATCATCTCACCCCTAACATGCCCAAATTGAAGGTGAGAGCCTTCTGCTGATGCCACCTTATCAGGAGACCAGTCCCCTGCAATGTAGAGATTGCGCCTTTGGTGTCTTGGCACGAACCCTTTGGAACTCCTCTCCACTTGAATATCAGGCAGGCAGCATCACTGTTGCCGTTTCAGCACCGACTGAAGACCTTCCTCTCCAAAGAGCCATCATTAAAGCTGAGCTCTTTCCCGGGCTTCAGCTGTACTAGGCTAGCTTTCAAAATGCATTTATTGTTTTATCACCTTTGGGAGGCTGGGTGAGGTTGTAAATGTAATAAATAAATGAAATATATATATAAATATTCGTATTATTACTGCCTTTGGGTCATTTGTGTGATGTTGCGCATCGCAGAGTGGAAGAAACCAGCATTTCCATGCTTAACAGGGTCAGCAGTGATTCTTTTTTCCCCCAAAAAAAGATATTAAAGAAAAATAGCAGCAAGCAATATATTTAAAATGTTATGGGCGTGGGACAGGGATTGTGCAACCCGTACCATTGTGAGGCATGATCTACTTTTGGAAGTGCTCCCCTGACTCGGTTTTTGAAAAAGAAGATGCTTTCAATCAGCCAGGAGAAAGGTTGTCACTCAGGTAAGACATTCCACATCTGCTTTGAGTGAGGTGGTGCGCAGGAATGGTGCATTACAGACAACGGTCCCCTGTTCTAAAGGAATCTTCTCATTCAGGTGTGGGGTGCCTCTGGCCCTCCAGATATCCCTGAACGACAACTCCCATCAGCCCCAGGAAGCCAAGAACCAGGGATCATGGGAGTTGTAGTTCAGCGATATCCAGAAAACCAAAGGTTCTCCACAGGTGCTCCAGTGGAATGGTTGTCCACCCTGAAACAAGTTTGAAAACAATGTAGACCCACTGGCTTCCTGTTTCCGGTGGTGAGAAATGGCTGACTCCCACACAATCGGACCTCAGCCGTGGCAGTAATTCAGGGTGAAAGAGGAGAGCGCAAAATATGGTCTGAAGCTCAACATCAAAAAACCTAAGATCATGGCCACTGAGCCCATCACCTCCTGGCAAATAGAAGGGGAAGAAATGGAGGCAGGGAGAGATTTTACTTTCTTGGGCTCCATGATCACTGCAGATGGTGACAGCAGCCACAAAATTAAAAGACGCCTGCTTCTTGGGACAAAAGCAATGACAAACCTAGGCAGCATCTTAAAAAGCAGAGACATCACCTTGCCAACAAAGGTCCGTATAGTTAAAGCTCTGGTTTTCCCAGTAGTGATATATGGAAGTGAGAGCTGGACCATAAAGAAGGCTGATCGCCAAAGAATTGATGCTTTTGAATTCTGGTGCTGGAGGAGACTCTTGAGAGTCCCATGGACTGCAAGAAGATCAAACCTATCCAGTCTGAAGGAAATCAGCCCTGAGTGCTCACTGGAAGGACAGATCCTGAAGCTGAGGCTCCAAGACTTTGGCCACCTCATGAGAAGAAAAGACTCCCTGGAAAAGACCCTGATGTTGGGAAAGATGGAGGGCGCAAGGAGAAGGGGACAACAGAGGACGAGATGGTTGGACAGTGTTCTCGAAGCGAACAGCATGAGTTTGACCAAACTGTGGGAGGCAGTGGAAGACAGGAGTGCTGGCGTGCTCTGGTCCAAGGGGTCACAAAGAGTCGGGCACGACTAAACGACTAAACAACAACATGGGGGTAATTAGCCCTGGCAGACTCCCCAGGGTGGGGGAGGTCTGTCTTGTAAACCCGCAGACCGTCTGAGATTGTCAGCTGGCACCAAGGTGCAAGCAGCAGGACGCTGGTTCCCAGAGCACAGCATGGCTGGAACTCTCCGAAGTCACTCTCACAAGCCGGAAATATCTGTTTGATAAAATAATTAGATTTGGACAATAAACAGACATAGTCTGGACCGAAGAAGACTGAGAAAAAATCTGCAGAATTGCATAGTCCCTGGTGTTTAAGCTCGGACTTCAAAGAGATTCTCATCATGGTGTTTGGATTTACGGAGGTGATTGGTATGTTCCTTTTTCTACTTTTCTATACCTACAATTGTTTTCTATGCCAAGCCTCATTAAGAAACCTATTTATTATCATCTTTTATCTATTATCTATTATCTATTATCATGATTAATAATTAATAATTTGGATTGTGATTTGGCTGTTTTTTATTTTATTATTTTTAACTGGATTGTGATTTGATGGATTTGTTAATTGGATGCTTTTATTGGAAAACTAATAAAAATGATTTTTAAAGAAAAAAAGAGAAAACAATGAAGACCCAGAAGGCAGAGCCAATGGGGGGACGCACTTGAAATCACTTTTCCATGGTTAACTGGTATAAAGTTTACGGCATGTAATGCCTTAAAAGAGAATTTAATGAAAATGATTTACAGGTGGTACATAACACCAGTCAAGCTTGCAAAAATGTATCATTTACCTGATAATAAATGTTGGAAATGCAATGAAACTGAAGGTACTTTCTTTCACCTTTGGTGGACATGCCCAAAGATTAAGGCATTCTGGGAGATGATCTATAATGAAATGAAAAAGGTATTTAAATATACCTTCTTAAAGAAACCAGAGGCCTTTCTCCTGGGCATGGTGGGCCAGTTGGTGCCAAAGAAGGACAGAGTTTTTTCATGTATGCTACAACAGCAGCAAGAATACTCATTGCAAAGCACTGGAAGACACAAGATCTACCTACCAGGGAAGAATGGCAGATGAAGCTGATGGATTACATGGAATTGGCGGAAATGACTGGCAGAATCCAAGACCAGGGAGAAGAGTCGGTGGAAGAAGACTGGAAAAAATTCAAAGCTTATTTACAGAAATATTCCAAAATTAATGAATGTTAGAAAGATGCTGGAAAGAAGTTATATGACTTTAGCAGAAATATTATAAAGAATTAAGTATGAATAGATTGACATTGGATAAAGAGGTAAATTTAAGTCTAAAATTGTGTTAAGTTAAACTATGGAACTAAATTTGTGAAAGAGGGAAAGGACTTGCTGGAATATTTAATTGAACTAGAATACAAAAAAGGAGGTGTGAGGAAGTCGAGGAAATAAGCAAATGAAAGATAAGGATATGAAAATATGTGGTTCTTTTGTATGTTTGTTTGTCCTTTTTTGGGTTTTGCTCTCTTTTTTTGTCAATGCTTTTGCTTTTTGCTTTTGCTTTTTGTACTGTTGATGTTTTGTATTTTTGAATTTATTTTTGTTTTTGAGGTTTTGTAATTGTTTATTGCTCTTTTTTGTTTCTTTTGTTTTGCTTCTGTTTTTCTGTAATGTTTAAACTTCAATAAATATTTTATTAAAAAAAATATGAAATCACTTTTCCATGGTTAACACCTAGAGGAAGCTAAGCACCTGGGTCCTGTTCCCCACCATGGCAAGGCCTTGTGGGATTTCTATTTAATTATGTTGACATTTGGAGCTATAGGTATCTATTAGCGTATGTGCATTTTAGGGATTTCTTTGGGTCCTCTACATCTCTCCTGCACGTTTGGTGATGCTTAAGAGGGTCACCCCAGGGAAACCAGAGAGCTAATCTCTGCAGTTTTGAAGTGGATGACCTTGTTAATTTCACTTTCCAGCTTCCCCCTCTTTGGGGGAGCTCTGGGGTCCCAAATCCACTACAGGGAGGGGAGGAGACACCACTTTGCCCCCCATAAAATATTTGAGGGGGACAGCCCCCCCAATTGATGGCCATTGCCATTCAAATGGTCTCATGTGCTGCATCATGTGATCGATTGTGCGATGTGGGGTTCACCTGCCCCCACCCCAATGTTTTATCCAAGTTGGCACCCCTGGGTGGCAGAAAGAGATAGAAGCACTGGGAGAGAGAAATGGGGAAGGAAGGAAGAAGGGAGGGAGGGAGGGAGGAAGAGTTCTTGTTGACTTGTTGCTCTTACCCACCCTGCCACTGAGGGAATAAGGCCCTTAACAGAGAAAATGTTGGCCACCTCTGGACTGGAGGGTCACACACGCACACACTCCAGACTTGCACCCCTCACCCCACTCCGCCTCAGGAAGAAAAACAGCCAAGCCAAGCTCATTCCTCCTTGGTGCTTGTATTCCCCGAAGATCTCACAAAACCGGGTCATGGACGTGGAACTGCTGTGACAAGATCTCGCTCATCCACTGCAGGCAGAAGAGGAGCAGCATGGCGGAGAGCAGGAACTGCAGGATGAGGAGAGCTGACGGGATGAGGGTGCTGAAGAGGACCTGGACGGCCGCAAACAGCAGGGCGGTGCAGAGCAAGGCAACGTAGGCCGTGAAGGCGCAGAGGCCCAGGAACAAGATGATGCTCAGGACCATCTTGACGCCGTTGAGGAAGGACCCCAGGAACCCGCTGCACGCAGTGGGCGGCGCCACCACTTTGCAGCCAGGAGTCGGCTGCACCGGCGACAGCTCCGACGGCTGAGGTTGCGAGGGCTTCTGGCGAGCCATGGCGATCCCCCTGGGGAGGCACAAAATGTCAGTATTTGTACTGTATTGGTTAGAAGATGCATTCTGTAAATAATAAATTGTACATGGGGGGGAAGGAAAACCTCTGCAACAGCTGCAAAATCTTGTAACTTATGTGTTGGCTACAAAGGAGTTTTGGAAGCAAGAAAACCCTCTCTTGGGCTCAAGGGAGAGAATTGCATTGCATTGGACTTGACATGCATAAATAAAACAGCTCGTTAATAGTTGGCACCCTGCAAGCAAAGAGTCTTGTGTGTGGAATCTACTTCATCACTAAGGCTTCGAGGGTGAAGCCGCTGCATCTCTCTGCGTGACTCAGAAAAACAGCTAACACAAAACCCTGTTTTTACGTGTTCACTGAGCTGTTTCAAAGCTACCGAGAGAGGAGGCAGGCAACTGGGAATCTCCTCTCCCCAGGGCTCTCTGAAGGGACAACATCTGCTTTCTGAGCTGGAGCAGGTGGAGACTGGAAAGAGTGTCTTTCTGGTGGTGGCGCCCCATCTATGGAAATGAAAGGTTTGTATCCAATGCAGCAGACCTTCCACAGGGATCATAAGAAGATGAGAACATAAGAACATGTTAGAGCAGGCCTATCTAGTCCAGCGTCCTGTTCTCACAGTGGCTGACCAGATCCGAGCCCGAGAGCCCCTCTCCCCTCCTGTGGTTTCCAGAAACTGATGTCTGGAAGCATTTCTGCCTCCGATTGTGGAGACAGAGCATAGCCACCCTGGCTAGTAGCCACTGATAGCCACCAATTTGTCCAATCCTCTTTTGAAACCACCCAGCTTGGTAGCCATCACTGCCTCCAGTGGCAGGGAGTTCCATAGTTTAACTTTGTGCTGCATGAATAAGTCCTTTCTTTTATCTGTCCCAAATCTTCCAGCATTCAACTTCTTTTTTATATATATACATTTTCATTGATTTTTTAACATATCAGTTCCAACAGTCATACAACATATCTTCTCATCTTATACAATGTTTTAGACTTCCGTCAACACCTCTGATGATTTTCCGTTCTTTATCACTTATTCTGCATTTCTTAATTTCTATATTGCATTTAATTGTCCTTAACTAATAATTCTTTCCATAGTCTTTCTTGTAATATTTCAGATTATCCACCTTACAAAACTTCTTGCAGTCCTACTAGCATAATCTGTTCGTCGCAATTACTTTTCAAATAGTTCATATGTTTACTCCAGTCCTCTAAGAATCTCTGATCCCACAGGTTTCGAATCCTTCCTGTTAATTTATCTAATTCTGCATAGTCCATCAACTTCATCCTCCATTCTTCTTTCGTCGGTACTTCTTCAACTTCTTTGGGTGTCCACAAGTTATGTTGTTACAAGAGAGGGAGAAACTCTTCGCTATCCATGTATAATTTTATAAATTTGTATCATGTCTCTTCTGACTCACCTTTTCTATAAACGAAAAAGTTCCCAAAGCTACAACCTTTCCTCATATAGCAGAGTTGCTCCATCCCCTCGATCAGTTTGGCTGCCCTTTTCTGAACCTTTTCCCAACTCTGCAATATCAGTTTTGAGGCGACGCAACCAGAATCCCAAATGCAACCGCACCAGAGATCTGCATAACAGCATTATATTGGCAGTTCTGTTTTCAATTCTGTTCCTGGATGGTCCTAATTGCTTGTTTTGGCACCTTCTTTTAACAAGTTTAATCAATTTTATTGCATTTCTATTTCTTATGGAAGATTATTCTAGTGCTTTGGGAACTAAAAGCCCTTTTCGTCTCTGTCCCCGCGCCCTTGGCAATTTCGAAGGAGGGAGATCCTTTAAATCCGTGGCTCTCCAGATCTTGTCAGAAAGACTCCAGCTCACATGAGCCTCAGGTCACATGGCCAGTGGTCAAGGATGATGGGAAATGTGGTCCAACAAAACAGGAAGGGGCATAGTTTCCTTGCTTTACTTAGAATAAATTTTAAAATCTTCATGGTTGTGGGTTTGGGGGGGGGTCAGTCTGGGTGATGTCCCGAGTCCCTCCCAGTTCTTGGGGTCTTGTGCCCTGAGAGGGTTGGAATCTGATGGAGGTTACTGCCCTCGTCAGTGACATTAGCTGGCCATAAAAGTGTCCTCATCAGCATCCCAAAATAATGAGTCAGTTTGCAAGGGCTGCAGCTAAGTGATGATGCTCCCCTCCAAGGCTGATTGGTGGGTCTTTCTTCCACTCCATCACCTAGCTGCAAGGTAAGGTCAGTGCTTTCTTTGGGGGAACGCAGGGGTACACATACCCCTAAACATTTTGTGAATCTTTGTACTTTTGTCCATTTACTGTATTTATTTCCCCCGATTTGAACTATAAAATTGTGGTTTTCTTGAGTCAAGATGAGAGTACCCCTAAACGTTATTTTTAGGGGGGGGAACCACTGAGCAAAGTACCGTATTTTTCGCTCTATTAGACGCACCGGACAACAAGATGCACCTAGTTTTTAGGGGAGGAAAACAAGAAATAAGAAAGCAACGCAAAGCATCCTGAGCTAAGAGGGAGTGCTCCTCCATCTTCACTCAGGAGGCTTTGCGGGGCTATCCCTGAAGCCAGGAGAGCAAGCGGGATCAGTGCGCACCAATCCCTCTTGCCCTCCTGGCTTAAGCGAAAGCAAGCCTACTAGCTTCCCTCCCCCAAGAGCTGCGCGCTCCCGCAAAAGTCAGGGATAGCCACACAGAGCCTCCGCAGGGCAGCAGGATGAAGGCTCCCACTCCCCTGAGGAGGCTTTGTATGGCTAAGCCAGAAGCTAGAACAGCCAGAGGGATCGCAGCGCAGCAATCCCGCTGGCTGTCCTGGCTTCCTGTTTGGCCACACGCCGCCTCCCCGGCCAGGAGAGGCTGCGCGTGGCTATGGCATAAGCCAAGACAGCCAGCAGAATCGATTCCGCTCGCTGTCCTGGCTTCTGGCTTAGCCGCGGGCAGCCTCTCCCGGGCAAAGGGAACCTTCATCCCCTGCCCGGGAGAGGCTGCTCACAGCTAAGGTTCCCCCAAGAGCCACGCTCCTCCAAGGAGGAGAAGGGCAGCCCTTTTCCCTCCTCGGGGAAAAGCCCCAAAGAGCTGCACACACGCTCCACACGGCTCTTTAAAGGGAGCGCTGAGCAGAGCCTCCCGCGTGCATTCACTCCATAAGACGCACACAAATTTCCCCTTACTTTTTAGGAGCGGGAAAGTGCGTCTTATAGAGCGAAAAATACGGTAAATGCTATAAGGCATGGGTAGGCAAACTAAGGCCTGGGGGCTGGATCCGGCCCAATCACCTTCTCAATCCAGCCCGCAGACAGTCCGGGAATCAGCGTGTTTTTACATGAGTAGAATGTGTCCTTTTATTTAAAATACATCTCTGGGTTATTTGTGGGGCCTGCCTGGTGTTTTTACATGAGTAGAATGTGTGCTTTTATTTAAAATGCATCTCTGGGTTATTTGTGCGGCATAGGAATTCATTCATATATATTTTTTCAAAATATAACCTGGCCCCCCACAAGGTCTGAGGGTCAGTGGACCGGCCCCCTGCTGAAAAAGTTTGCTGACCCCTGGTATAAGGTAAATGACCCCTGGACGGTTAGGTCCAATCAAAGGTGACTATGGGGTGCGGCACTCATCTCATTTTTCAGGTCAAGGGAGCCAGCATTTGTCCACAGACGGCTTTCCGGGTCATGTGGCCAGCATGATTAAACCACTTCTGGTGCAATGGAACACCGTGACGGAAACCAGAGCACACAGAAACGCCATTTACCTTTTTATCTACTTTCACTGGTGTGCTTTCAAACTGCTAGGTTGGCAGAAGCTGGGACAAAGCAATGGGACCTCACCCCGTCGCACCGATTCGAATTGCCAACCTTCCGACTTTCGTACCTGCTAGGTAGGAGAACTTTGACCAGTGTGGTATGAGTGCTGATCTTCCATCTATGCATTGTTCTTGGCACCTGTCTGTCTCAGGAGACAAGGGAGCGTACCTTTGGGGGTAAAGTCAAATCATTGGAGAGTTACAGCCCCTGCTGTGGCTGTAGAAACTGATATGGGAGAGACATTTTGTTGTTGTTGTTGTTGTTTTATTTATTATTAATGTTGCAATACATATATGAACTCTTCACATAGTGATACATATACCTGATACATATACCTGTACATTATATTCGTAAATTCACATTTTCACATTTCATTATGTACCAACATTTATCCATTTCTTATTTCTTGCCCTGTGTCTTCCCTCCACCCATACATGACTTCCTTGTTATTATTTTGTAACTTTATTATTGAGATTGTAATTTTGTATCTTAATAATTAAACATTCATTTTTATATATCTGTTTAGCTCAACTTAACTTTGTGAAATCAGTCTATACATATCAGTAAATTCATGTTGGAGCATCTTTTGGTCATGTGTTCTTCTACACATTTCCATTCCTGTTTGAGATTTTGATTAGATTGCGTTCTAATTGTTGCCGTCATTTTTGCTAATTCAATCATTTCAAAAAAATTATGTTGCCAATCTTTCAGTGTTGGTACTTCTTCTGATTTCCAGTTTTTTGCAATCAATAACCTTGCGGCGGCTGTTGCATATAAAAAGATTCTGGGAGAGACATGTTTTGTTGCAGCCGGGGCAGATGAAGGCATCCAGTTGTGCTGCTGCAGATGTACTATGTCGTTTCTTTTCTCTGCGCGCCTCCCAGAGGTCATGCCTCCTCTGGTCACCTGACTGGTCACTGCAGGGACTGCGGTTGTCTGCAATGGATTCCCTCATGGCATGGTTAACACTGCCAGCCTTCATGCCACCTTCGTAGACACCGTTGTAATGAAGAATTGGTCTGCCAACCAGCCTGGTGCCTGAAGAAAGCTCCCATAGAACACATCCTTGTGGATATGTGTGAATAAAGCCATATATTCTAAAGACACCACAGTCTTCGTCATTCCAAGGAAACAGAACCCTGAATAAATGCCTGGAACCCATGGAGTCTCTCATCTCTTGGGTATTAGGGTGGCAGGAAACAGTCTCATTTAGTTGACATCTTCTAGCACTCCTAAGCCGGTGAATCTGGTTCTTTCTCTTGTCAGTTTTTTTTAATGTGCCCTGAAGACTTCTCTGCTCCAAGCTGCTTTTAATTAATGTTTTATTGCTCTGCGCTTAAAACTGCTGCTATTTTAAAGTCATGTTTTGATAACTGCTGGATTTAATATACGCAGTGTTGGCACTGTTTTAAGCTACTGCCGGGATATTATATTACCTGGGAATAAGGGTGTGTCTGGACTGGCACTGTTCTGTAGGAGGGGTTCAAGGATGCAGGGGAAATTTATGTTTACCCAATTAAAGTGGGTTAAAGCACCGGATCTTTTCCAGCTCATGGGACTCAGCTACGTTTTAATATGCGTTATAAATAGCGTTTTAAATGCGTTATAACACTGTGACACCAGATGGCGCCGTGGAGTCCCGTCTTCCACCAACTTGATTTCCCATAATGAAGTTTTCCTGAAATGTTTTTTTTAATGTCTCTAGATCCAGCCACAGTTCTGGAACCTAACCTTACCCAACCCACCCAAAAGCAGTCATATTTTCTATGGCTGCCAAGGGCTCCTAGTCATGATGGCTAGATACTATCTCTAGGGTTGGAAGAAATTGGTCTCTGAACACCAGCTGTAGAAGAGTTGGAAGGGACCCTGAGGGTCATCTAGTCCAACCCCCTGCAATGCAAGGATCTCAACTAGATTGTGTGTGGCAGATGGCCAACCAAACTCTTCTTAAAAACCTCTAATGAAGGAGTCCACAACCTCCCAAGGGGGTCCATTCCATTGCAGGACAGCTCATACTGATTGATTTGGCGCACGCCCTGCTTGTGGACTTCCTAGAGGCAGCTGGTTGACCATCATGGGAACAGGATGCTAAACTAGGCAGCCCATAAGGGAAGTGACGCCCATATGAAGAAAGGTTGCAGCATTTCAGACTTTTTAGTCTGTCAAAAAGGCAAATTCCATGCTACGGATCCTTAGGAAAAGAACTGAAAACAAAAACTGCCGGGATCATAATGTGCTGGGCCCGGGGGTAAACCCGAGCAACGCGGTCCAGGTCTGGTCCCAAATCCAAGGGTTCCGCGAAGAGTCAGTCCAACAGGGTCAAGGCAGGAAACCAGGCTGGGTCAGGCACAGGGTCTCAGGCAGGTTCTAGCAAACAGCAATGTTGCTCCCGCAACCTGGGGTGGGGTCCGACAGCCTTTTATCTTTGTCGGGGTAATGGCTGGTCCTGATCCCCCGGTGACTCACCTCCCTGTCTCACCCGAAGGCGAGGACTCCTCCTGCGAGTACTCAGGTCTCTCCTTCTCTCAGACCTTAGTCTCTGCAGCTCGGGAGACACTGGTGGGTTACTAGACCAAGAGGCCGCCTCAGCCTCCCCTGACCCAACTGGTAGTGGAGCAGCTGTGAGTGATGGCCCAGCTGGAGGCAACGAGGTCATCCCCGCATCTGGAGCCAGGGCAGGCTCAGGCCCCTGACTTGGCCCAGATGGTGTTTGTTGCAGGAGAATCTGTTCAGACTGGGGCTCTTCGGGATCAGGACCCAGACTTGGTTCAGATGATGCCTGAGGCAAAGGATCCGGTGCGGATTGAGACTCCTCTGGTTCAGAGTCTGAGCCTGAGTCCCAGGCCATCACACATAACGCCATTGTGCAAATCTACAGCATGACCACATTTGCAGTACTGTGCACAAGTTCTGGCTGTCTCACCTCAGAAAGGACATTGCAGAGTTGGAGAAGGTTCAGAAAAGAGTGACAAAAATGATCAAGGGGATGGAGAGACTCCCTGATGAAGAAAGGTTGCAACGTTTGGGACTTTTTAGAATAGAGAAAGGGGGATTTAAGAGGCAACGTGATAGAAGTTTATAAAATTCTGCGTGGCACGGAGGAAGCAGACTGAGAAAGGTTTTCCTCCCCCCTTCATGACACTAGAACTCACTGCCCGAGGCAGCAGTACTTCTGAGCACCAGTTGCCAGAAACCACAGGAGGGGAGAAGGCTCTTAGGCTCAAATCCTGCTTGCAAATTTCCCAGAAGAGGCACCCGGTTGGCCATTGTGAGAAGAGGCTGTTGGCCTGATCAAACAGCTGGACTCTTCTTATGTTCTCCCACTGAGACTTCATGACTACTCAAAGAGAAAGGAGGTGTTTGAAAGATGGAGAAACGTGTGAGAGTTTGGCACCTTCCTCCTATGCACCCATAACGCACTTTACGACACATCCAGACACACACATGTACGTGCATGCTTTACAGGGAATCAGCAGGACTCCCCATGTGGATTTGCCCTGACTTGTTAATAACAGCAAGAACGACTAATTTTAGACACCGGGATCCCAAGTTAGGGTTTATCCACACTGCTCTTTACAGGCATAAAGGTAAAGGTAAAGGGACCCCTGACCATTAGGTCCAGTCGTGACCGACTCTGGGGTTGCGACGCTCATCTCGTTTTATTGGCCGAGGGAGCCGGTGTACAGCTTCCGGGTCATGTGGCCAGCATGACTAAGCCACTTCTGGCGAACCTCAGCAGCGCACGGAAACGCCGTTTACCTTCCTGCTGGAGTGGTACCTCTTTATCTACTTGCATTTTGAAGTGCTTTCGAACTGCTAGGTTGGCAGGAGCAGGGACCGAGCAACGGGAGCTCACCCTGTCGCGGGGATTCGAACAGCCGACCTTCCGATCGGCAAGTCCTAGGCTCTGTGGTTTAGACCACAGTGCCACCCATGCCCCCTTTACAGGCATAGACTATGCTTTAAAGCCCTGTGTGCAAGTGCCCTTTATTTTTTTGCTCTGTAGCATTCTCCCTGAAAGTCTGCTCTTTAAAGCTCAATCAGAGCAAATGGCAATCCAGAGAAAATTCAAACTGACATTTGCTCTGATTGAGCACTAAATACCAGTTGTTGGACACTAATGGAGGGTGCTCTTTCACTCGTGTGTTGCTTGCAGGCTTCCCATTGGGGCATCTGGTGAGAACAGGATGCTGGGATGAATGGACCTTGCCCCTTCATAATACCGGGGGTAAAAATGAGCAATGGGATCCATGGTATGATCTTCAGGCTCCCATGGCAGGAATGCCCCAACTTACCTCCCTTCTAGGCTGAGCTCAGCATCAGATGTTACCCCCAGGCCCGTCCTCGTGTCTGAATTATTGACCCGTTCATTGGGCAGAGATGTCTCCCACACCACATCCCGGCCTAATGGGAGTGGCTGTCCTGGGAAGGGCACTCTGTTTCTTGACTGCTGATGTCACAAACCCAGCTGGCTGGGTAATGGCAGCCCTGCAAGCCCTCAACTTTTGGCTGGGGACTGGTGGCCACCCTGGAGAAGACTTCCTGTTTGGGAAGCTGGACCCCGCTCTCTCATTCAGATTTTTCCTCCGTTGACCAGGTTCTGAGCTTCCCAGAGTTTCAGATGGGGGACGTCTCCAGCCCCACCTGAAGATGCCAGATATTGAACCCAATGCCCTACGACCCTCCTCCAGAAAAGTACAATGGAAAAAGAAGTGGAGGTCAACCTTCATAAAGTCATCATGGGGTGACTACTGGAATAGAATCTCCCAAAGAGGTCTTCCATCATACAGCCTACTAGACCCTAATGTGGCTAGCCTAGCGGTCCAGATGGGAACTGGGAACTGTCTCCATGGGTATGTCTCTCTTGTGGTCCATGGGGTGGTGGCAGTGGTTAGGATCTCATTCAGCTCTGGCCAGAAAACTCAGCCAAGATTCTGAGTGGGAAGGGTTTTTGGGGGGGGCGGGGAGCCACCCCAAAAAACCCAATACTAATCTGCTCCTGAATCATCATGACTAATTTTAGTAATGGGAATTAAAAAATAAATAAATACCAACTCAGATTTGTTGGGCAAAGGGGTGCAACGCTAAACCAACAAAGGACCAGAGAAAGCTGTCTTCCGGGCTCATTCAGACGTGCTTTTTTGCTGTGTTTCTAGGCACAGATCATAGAATTGTAGATTTGGGAGGGACCATGAGGGTCATCTATACCAACCCCCTGCAATGCAGAATTTTTTTGCCCAACATAGGTCTCAAATCCAGGACCCTGAAATGAAGGAGTCTTGGGCTCTGTGCTTTAAAGCTCCCTGTCCAAGCACTTCTTCTTTTTTCTTTTTTGCCCCAGAGCATGAAGACCTGCTCTTTACTGCTAAATCGGAACAAACGGCATTCCATGGGAAACCCAAGTGATTGATTAGTTCCAATTCAACATTATAGAGCAGGTTTTCACCCTGAGCTGTTTGGCGTTTTAGCAGCCCCAGCTTTTGTCTCTGCTAAATATCTTCCACCCACCCACAGTGGAGATGTCCCTGCCTGGTGCGAATTGCTAGGGTCTTCCTAGCTGTCAACGGAGTTAAAACCCAAGACTTAACGCTAGAAGAACACCATGCAGGGGGAGGCATGTTTATTGCAGTGTTTAGGGGCAAATAGAAAGCTCCCACATTGTCTTGTTTTGCAACAGGGCTGTTTCCAAGCCCTGCTGATTTCACGACCCTAAGGAAAAGCCCACGTTCTTTGTCTCCTCCAGCACCTTTTCCTGCACCCACGAGGAGATCGTAGAGAGCAGCAAGGCAAGGGCACCAGACATGAATAAGTAGACGATGTGGCGCCCTAGGTCGGAGGTGATGCGCAGCACATCAAGGAGCGGGGCAGCCAAGGGGCCAAGGAACCGGGTGGAGGCAATTAGCTCAGAATGGAACCGGTCGGTCATCAAGAAGTAGTAAGTGGTTGAGAGCACTATCACAAAGGTGGCCACACACATGGCTGGGGTCTTCCGCTAGGCTCTTCCTCTGCTAGGCAGCACCATGGTCCACAGGGCTGGGGGGGCGTGCATTCCCTGGAAATGAATGGGGAAGAGGAACCATGGGTGAACTGGATGGAGGCAGCTTTCCCTAGCCTGGTATCCTCTGGATCAGCGGTTCTCAACCTGTGGGTCTCCAGATGTTGTTGGACTACAACTCCCATCACCCCTAGCTAGCAAGGCCAGAGCTCAGGGATGATGGGAGTTGTAGTCCAACATCTGGGGACCCACAGGTTGAGAACCGCTGCTCTGGATTGTTTTGGACTACAACTCCCATCAACCCCTGCCAGCTGGCCATGCTTTGGACTACAGCACCCATCAGCCCCACACCGGCACAGCCATGTGCTGGACAGCCATATAGAACCACAGAATACAATTGGCCCAAGGGCCATCTAGTCCAACTCCTGCAACACAGGAATGTTTTAGACTACAACTTCCATGAGTCCTGGCTAGCACAGCCATGTTTTAAACTACAACTCTCATAAGCCCCCTGCCAGCATAGCTCTTCTCAGGCTGAAAGCCTCAGGCTGATTGATTGATTTAGTCAATCAAAGTGTGCACCCATAGTTTGTTTTTTGGGGGGGTTTTGCTTTTAATTTTTTATTGAATTTACTTGATAAGATAACATACAGTCATACCTTGGGTTGAAGTAGCTTTGGCAAGAATATTTTTGGGTTGCGCTCCGCGGCGACCCGGAAGTAACGGACGTGTTACTTCTGGGTTTCGCTGCTCACGCATGCACAGACGCTCAAAATGACATCATGTGCATGCGCGGAAGCGGCTAAACATGACCCGCACACACGCAGACGTGCAGTCGCATTGTTACATTTGCATCAGGATGCGAACAGGGCTCCGGAACAGATCCCGTTCGCATCCAGAGGTACCACTATAATTATATATGGTCTTTTGGGGGGGATTACAAAACAGTGTCAATTCAAAATACAATTCACCATACACTCCTACTGTTATGTACTGAGTTGAATAGGATCCAAACTGCAGCAGTCTGATTGGTCCTAGAACAATAGGATCCAAAATGCAGCAGTCTGATTGGTCCTAGAACAATAGGATTCAGAATGCAGCAGTCTGATTGGTCCTAGAACAATGCAGCAGTATGATTGGTTGGCAGGAACTACCCAATCATGCTCCAGATAGAAGTGAATCCACAACCTGACTGGCTTACAGTAGAATTCCAGAATTAGCCAATCATGTGCAGCCCATTGTGTAAATAATGTATATAAAGCAGATACTTTGAGGGGACATTCACTCATTCCTCCTCACCACTATGAGCTGAATAAAGAGCATGAAATCACTTTGCGACTCTGAGTATATTTCACCTACATATATACACATGAGACTTCCCACCCCCAATGCTTTTACCTTTTCTACTTTCCTGTTGTACAAAACTTAACATTATACTAATTATAGTATCTTAAAGTTCCTTACTAAATTTTAGAACCTTTTCATTCATGTAAACAGAAATCATTCATGTGCTGTCAAAGAAGCCACACGACTGTTACCGTATTTTCCGCTCTACGCACCGGACCATAGGATGCACCGGACCATAGGAGGGGGAGAACAGGGAAAAAAATTCTCCCCTCTCTGCTCAGCGCCCCTTCAGCGAAGCGGCAGGAGAAACGGAGCCCCTTCCATTTCTCCTCCCGCTTTGCTGAAGGGGCGCTGCGCACCTCTCCCTCTCTGCTGAAGCCGGGAGAGTCTTGCTCTCCCGGCTTCAGCAAAAGGAACCCGAAGCCTTCAGAGCACAGTGCGAGTTCCCACTGCACTCCAAAGGCTTCAGGCGGCTATCCCTGAAGCCTGGAGAACCCCTCTCACACTCCAGGCTTCAGCGAAAGCAACGCAAAGCCTCCGGAGCACAGAGGGAGCGCTCCCTCTGCGCTTCGGAGGCTTCGTGTTGCTATCGCTGAAGCCAAGGAGCCTGCATTTGCTCCATAGGACGCACACACATTTCCCCTTAATTTTTGGAGGGGGGAAAGTGTGTCCTATAGAGTGAAAAATATGGTATTTTTTTTTTAAAGTAGTTCTTGAACATGTCCCATTTTTGAATAATTTTTTGGTTAACATTACCTCTCAGCCTGTTTGTCATTTGAGCCAATTCAGCAAATTCTACCAATTTGTTCAGCCATTCTGTTTTTGAAGGAACCCCCTCACCCTTCCAGTTCTGTTGTACCCCTAGTTTGGACTTGGAGGTCCAACTTGCAATTGCACAAGATTTTCAAAAGAATGAATGGCAGGCATAGCATAGGGAGGGAAAGAGATGGTTTTCAATAGGACTACGTCTTGGGATGGGGTGGTTTTCATCAAAGTTGTAGTAGAAAGAAATGCATAAGATTCTCTCCTCTCTCACCCACCAGTCCTGCTGAAAATCACCCCTCCCCACATTGGCATGTTAGTCGACATGATTGCAGGTGGAAATCCCAGGAGAAGAATAGCCAGGTGTGGTGTGTGACAGCTGAGCTGGTTGGAAACTGGATACACAGAGACCTCCTTGCTCTGTGCTGGATCCACAGCTGTGACTAATGGAGAAGCAAGATCTGTGTTTAATAATAATAATAATAATTATAATATTAATAATAATAATTTATTTATACCCTGCCCATCTGGTGGGGTTTCCCCAGCCACTCTGGGCGGCTTCCAACTGAATATTAAAAAGCAATACAGCATCAGACATTAAAAACTTCCCTAAACAGGGCTGCCTTCAGATGTCATCTAAAAGCCTGGTAGTTGTTGTTCTCTTTGACATCTGGTGAAAGGGCGGGTGCCACCACCGAGAAGGCTCTCCCACCAGATGTGCTCGGAAACGTACTGGGAGCCAATGTAGGTCTTTTAAGACCTGTGTTATGTTGTCTCGGCGGCCGCTCCCAGTCACCAGTCTAGCTGCCGCATTCTGGATTAGTTGTAGTTTCTGGGTCACCTTCAAAGGTAGCCCCACACAGAGCGCATTGCAGTAGTCCAAGCGGAAGATAACCAGAGCATGCACCACTCTGGCAAGGCAGTCCGCAGGCAGATAGGATCTCAGCCTGCGTACCAGATGGAGCTGGTAAACAGCTGCCATGGACACAGAATTGACCTGCGCCTCCATGGACAGCTGTGAGTCCAAAATGGCTCCCAGGCTGCGCACCTGGTCCTTCAGGGGCACAGTTGCCCCATTCAGGACCAGAGAGTCCTCCACACCTGCCCACCTCCTGTTCCCCAAAAACAGTACTTCTGTCTTGTCAGGATTCAACCTCAATCTGTTAGCCGCCATCCATCCTCCAACCGCCTCCAGACACTCACATAGGACCTTCACCGCCTTCACTGGTTCTGATTTGAAAGAGAGGTAGAGCTGGGTATCATCCACATATTGATGGACACCCAGCCCAAAGCCCCTGATGATCTCTCCCAGCGGCTGCATGTAGATATTAAAAATCATGGGGGAGAGGATGGAACCCTGAGGCACCCCATAAGTGAGAGCCCAGGGGTCTGAACACTCATCCCCCACCACCACTTTCTGAACACGGCCCAGGAGGAAGGAGCGGAACCACTGTATGACAGTGCCTCCAGCTCCCAGCCCCTCTAGACAGTCCAGAAGGATGTTATGGTCAGTGGTATCAAACACCGTTGAGAGATCCAGCAGAACTAGGAAACAGCTCTCACCTTTGTCCCTAGCCCGCCGGAGATCATCGACCAGCGCGACCAAGGCAGTTTCAGTCCCATGTTAGAGCCTCTCCATCTTACGCCCAGGTTGTCTGTACATGAAAATAAAACCATGTATCCTAAATCTACCACTGTCTCCGCTGACCTTCATTCCAAGGCAACAGAACCCTGAGTAACTGCTGGAACCCCGGAAGTTGCTCACCTTTCAAAGATTAGGTAGGCATGCAACAATCCACATCCTTGGGCGGAAGCCGCAGTGTGCTACCTGGCAGCTCTGCTGACTTTCCCGGTGCCAGATTCCCACCCAGAAGGCTGTCCTCTGACCTCCAGGCTCCAAACCTCTTAGCCTGCAGTCTGCAGCTAACCTGTGGCCCGGAGAGAGCTCCAGGAGTCCAGCGGCTGCAGCATCTTGGTCAAGGCACCATTGCTTGGCGGGAGACCCTGGACCGCACCTGCCCCGGGAGCTCCCATTGTGAAGCAGAGGACAAAGCCGCCACCCACCTGTGAGGTCATCAAACAGGCAACCAATTGGAAGCTAAGAGTCACTCTAAGCAGAGAGCCTGGGTCCTGCAGGTGCCTCTGGGAAGCTCAGAACATGAGCACAAATGCTTCTGTGCTGCTAGCAGCAGGTGCAACAGGAACAGACCTTAGTGGCACATACACAGCAGAAGGAGGACATTCGGTCTTGAGAACACGAAAAGAGCCTGCAGGATCAGGCCAGTGGCCCATCTAGTCCATCCAGTTCTCACAATGGACAATTCTTTTTTTAAAAAAAATGCTTTTTATTTGTGTTTCATTTAATACAAACAAACAAAATACAGTAAAATTCAACAATCGTTTACCCACATTCTTTCCCCACACTCTGCTGAGCATTGACTTCCTTCCCTCCTTTCAACAGGTTTTCTTATGTCAGTTACTTTTCCACCGTTTCTTATTGTATCCAGTCCTATCTACATCGTAAGATTTATTTCAGTCCTGCCAGAGTCTTCAAATTTCTACAGTTATTATTTATGTACTCCATAAATTTACTCCAGTCTTTTTGGAATTTTGCTTCCTCCTGATTTCGGATTCTACATGGCAGTTTTGCTAGTTCCGCATAATCAACCATCTTCGTCTGCCACTCCTCTATTGTTGGTAACTCTGGTACTTTCCATTTTTGAGCTAACAAAGTTCCTCACAGTGGACAATTCAATGCTTCTTCATGGAGGAGAGGGCTATTGATGGCTACCTACAAATGCAACCCAAAAGAACTCACAAGCAAACAAAGAGCAGGCAATATCCCCATCCCCAAAAAGGTGACTAGTGCTATAGTTCTAGAAAAAGAGGCGCCAGAACTCACCAGCAAGCCTCTCTTGTTCTCTTATAATGGCAGTGGCGCCCACCTGAGAGGTGCCAGAACTGAGTTCTGGCTGAGAAGAAGCCCTGCCCTCAGTCAATAAAACAAACCAAAGAACACCATTTTTTAAAATTAGAAGCAGGCCTTGCAGGTGCCTGAGGGCACTGTGTTGCTCATAGGCACCACATTAGGGGTCAGGTACTGGGACGCGGGTGGAGCTGTGGGTTAAACCACAGAGCCTAGGACTTCCAATCAGAAGGTTGGTGGTTCAAATCCTCGCAACGGGGTGAGCTCCCGTTGCTCGGTCCCTGCTCCTGCCCACCTAGCAGTTCGAAAGCACGGCAAAGTGCAAGTACATAAATAGGTACCACTCCGGCGGGAAGATAAATGGTGTTTCTGTGCGCTGCTCTGGTTCGCCAGAAGCGGCTTAGTCATTAAAGCCATTAAAGCGAGATGAGCACTGCAACCCCAGAGTCGGTCATGACTGGACCTAATGCTCAGGGGTCCCTTTACCTTTATCTTACTGGGCAAGATGAACAGAGGAATATAGAAACTGTCATGGACTGGCTGAATGCAGAGGAGCAGTGGGAGGCACCAGCTGAGGAACCCCCGAGGGAAGAAGGCTCAGAACCTGGAGGTTGGTGGTGGGACGATGAGAGGTCAGAGGGAGAAGATTGGGGTGAGGAGGCATCGGAAGCTGAGGAGGCAACAGGGCTTAGTGAGCTGGGAGAGTCTGTGGCAGAGAGAAGACCAGACTCAGTGGCAGAAGCTGAAGCAGGAGAGGAGGGAGACCAAGAGGCAGAGATAGGGCAGAGTCATGGGTGTCTCCCCCTCCTGCCGAGACAAGCTCCACTCTCCACTTGTCCCCAGGACCAGAAGAGGGCTGAAACAGGAAGAGCAGGGGTAGGGTGCACACAGGCGCAGTCTCTGAATGCTTGGGGAAAGCTCTGGAGAAGAGGAGACCTAGGCAGCTGTTGGCAGGCGAGGACTTTCAGGTTCATGGGGCAAGACCTGCTGGGGGTGAACAGCTGCGCTCATTAGGCCTGACACTCAACCAAGTCTGCAGAGATCCTGTTTTTTGCTAATACAGTGGTACCTCGAGTTAAGAACTTAATTCGTTCTGGAGGTCCATTCTTAACCTGAAACTGTTCTTAACCTGAAGCACCACTTTAGCTAATGGGGCCTCCCGCTGCCGCCACACGATTTCTGTTCTCATCCTGAAGCAAAGTTCTTAACCCAAGGTATTATTTCTGGGTTAGCGGAGTCTGTAACCTGAAGCCTCTGTAACCTGAAGCGTCTGTAACCCAAGGTACCACTGTAAAGAGTTAACTTAGGGTTACCAGACGTCCCCAGTTCCCGGGGACAGTCCCCAGATTTGCAAATCTGTCCCCAGGAAACATGGCAGTGGCAGCCTCAGCAGCCCGGAGCCAGCCTGGTAGCGCAGTTGGCTCTGGCTGGCTTCAGGAGCTGCTCACTCCCGCCGCCACTGTCGATCTCCTGCCCCCTTCCCCCTTTGTTTTGACAGATCGGGGAAGGCTCGGGAGTCACTGGCGGGCAGGCGCTGCCCATGGGGGGTGCAAGGCACATGGTTTCTCTGTCAGGCAAGGTGCAAAGCCTTTCTTTCACACCCTGTGAAACATAAATGCGCAGAGTTTTTAAAAAACTGGGCAATAGCCACCCGCCCGTGACTCCTGAGCCTCCCCTGATCAGTTAAAATAAAGGAGGAAGGGGGCAGGAGATTGGGGGAGGCTCAGGAGTCACGGACGGGCAGTGCCCAGTTTTTTATAAACTCTGCGCATTTATGTTTCACAGGGTGTGAAAGAAGGGCTTTGCACCTTTATACAAAATGCATGTGTGCTTGGGCCCAGGGTCTTTTGCCTCACCATCCGCACTACAGTGGTACCTCAGGTTACAGATGCTTCAGGTTACCGACTCCGCTAACCCAGAAATAGTACCTTGGGTTAAGAACTTTACGATGAGAACAGAAATTGTGCAGCAGCAGCACAGCAGCAGGAGGAGGCCCCAGCTAAAGTGGTGCTTTAGATTAAGAACAGTTTCAGGTTAAGAATGGACCTCCGGAACAAATTAAGTTCTTAACCCAAGGTACCACTATACTGACTCCCTGTTGCTACTCAGTTTGTTTTTTTTAAAAAAAAGGTGTCCCCAGATTCATTGGAAGAAATCTGGTAACCGTAAGTTAACTCCAACTTTGAACAGTGTGATTTACTGCCAGAGGGCTCTTAGACAGTTCCAGACAGGCAAATTCACTCAAGGGGGGCAGGGTGAAGGACTGGCAAGAGGGTGTGACCTTTGGAGAGTCCCATGGGCCAGGTGCAAAGGTTTTTGGGGGGCCTCATCTGGCCCATCCCCTCCATGGATCACTGCCTTGCTGTGGCGAAGGGGCTTGAATAACTTAGAGAAGCTATGAGCTATGCCATGCAGGGCCACCCAAGATGGAAAGGTCATAGTGGAGATTTTAGACCAAACATGATCCACCTGGAGCAGGAACCGGCAAGCCACTCCAGTATCCCTGCCAAGAAAACTCCATGGACAAAGACAACAGTTTGACCAAACTGCAGGAGGCAGTGGAAGACAGGAGTGCCTGGCGTGCTCTGGTCCAGGGGGTCACGAAGAGTCGGACATGACTAAAAGCCTAAACAATAGCATCTGGCCTATGGACTTGAGCCTCTCCATTCCCAGCACAACAGCTCGGCCCACCTGCCAAAGAGCGGCTCTACACAGGACCAATGTTTCCAAGCTCTCCCTTTATTCGTGGTTGCTCCTCTCAAGAGCAGCTCCTTTCACTGAGGAAGAAGATCAAGGGCAGGATGAAGACGAGGTTGCAGAAGATCAGCCCAACACGGACCAGGAAGTAAGCGACCGCCAAGGACATCACCAGATCCTCAATCCCCTGGACGTAAAGGTGGAAGGACGTCTGCTGGGCTCTCTCCCCCGCGGCCCCCTGGCACAAGGCATGCCCCGTCCTCAGGTTCTCGGAAGATGCAGCGCCCATTATGGTGTTTGCCCTGAGGACAGAAGGGAGAAGCAAGTGGGACTATTTGCAAGGTGGCTGGAAGCAAAAGAGACCCACTCTGAAATAATGGAGTGGTTCAAGGTGTGGGTGTGGCGTGGGTGGTGCTGCGGGTTAAACCACAGAGCTTAGGGCTTGCCGATCAGAAGGTCAGCGGTTCGAATCCCCACGACGGGGTGAGCTCCCGTTGCTCGGTCCCTGCTCCTGCCAACCTAGCAGTTCAAAAGCATGTCAAAGTGCAAGTAGATAAGTAGGTACCGCTCCAGCGGGAAGGTAATCGGCGTTTCTGTGCGCTGCTCTGGTTCGCCAGAAGCGGCTTAGTCTTGCTGGCCACATGACCCGGAAGCTGTATGCTGGCTCCCTTGGCCAGTAAAGCGAGATGAGCGCCGCAACCCCAGAGTCGGCCACGACTGGACCTAATGGTCAAGGGTCCCTTTACCTTTACCTTTTCAAGGTGTGGGATATTTAAAATGCAGTCAAACCAACAATGCGCGTTTGCTAGATAGACACATGAGAGACGCTGAAGCTCACAGAGTTTTCCTGTAAGTTTGCTAGAGAGAACTTTGTGAGAGCACTCCCACTGTGCCCTGACACAGGGAGGGTATATTGTCCTTCCCTTCCTGAGCACATCCTCTTTTACTCTTCCTGTCATCACCAAGGTAGAAATGTGAGAGCAACTGCTAAGTCTGAGCTACAGCTCAGAAACTCCATCTTAAACTAGACCTAAGCATGTCTTTTGTAGGGACGTGGGTGGCGCTGTGGGTTAAACCACAGAGCCTAGGACTTGCCGATCAGAAGGTTGGCGGTTCGAACCCCCGCAACGGGGTGAGCTCCCATTGCTCGGTCCCTGCTCCTGCCCACCTAGCAGTTCGAAAGCACGTCAAAGTGCAAGTAGATAAATAGGTACCGCTCCGGCAGGAAGGTAAACGCCGTTTCCGTGCGCTGCTCTGGTTCGCCAGAAGCGGCTTAGTCATGCTGGCCACATGACCCGGAAGCTGCACGCCCGCTCCCTCAGCCAATAAAGCGAGATGAGCGCCGCAACCCCAGAGTCAGCCATGACTGGACCTAATGGTCAGGGGTCCCTTTACCTTTACCTTTAAGCATGTCTTTGTAACTGAATTACCATTTTAAGCCTGCCAGAACAAAGCTGCTGTATCTGTTATTCTGCAGCAGAAACTTTGAGTGAATGTTATTGTTTTACCTTTTACAAGACTGTTTGTGTGGTTGTTGTTTTAAGAGTAGGAAAAGGGAGGAAGCACCAGGAGAATCCAATCTGCCTTAAAGCATCCTGGATTACTTAAACTAAAAGACTAGCCTATCTAAGCTTCCTTTTAAGCTGCAAAGGAATGGCACTCTGCTGAACTCACAAATGTGAAGAAGGAAGGATAAGAGCTAATAAATAAATCTTCTCCCAGCATCTGTTCACATCCCTACACAAGGCAGGTCTCTAAGGCATATCGAAGAGTGCAAGTTTGTAAATGAAAATGAAAATGCAACAAAAATGAAATAAACTGGCAGGGACATGCGAGCTTCAAGGATGTGCCGAATGTGGATGTACCAGGGGGAGAGGGGACAGAAAGGAAACTAGAGGTGGTCTAATGCAGTCCACTCGTCCTTTTCAGTCTCCACATCTTGCAGCAGCAAGTTTCTGCTGTCAGTTAAGCTCTGGGGAATGGACTTTGCTCTAAGTCTGCTTTCTACTGGGTCACGTTCTGGGCACCACAATTTAACAAGGATGTTGACAGGCTGGAAGGTGTGCAGAGGAGGGAGACCAAGATGATCAAAGGTCTAGAAACCAAGCCTTTGGAGGAATGATCACAGGAGTTGGGTATGTTTAGCTTGGAGAAGAGGATGTGGGATGTGATACATAGATAGCAGTCAAGTACAACATTCCTTGTTTTCCTAGAGTGGACTTGCAGAGGAATGTCTGCTCCAGTGAGTGGAAAACTTCCTGTTTCCTCCTGACTGGGACATACTTCCTCTTGCATGTGACTAGAGGTGGGCGTGACCTTACCTGTCTAGGTAACGAAAAGGACAAGCAACAGCTCTTTTTAGCTAGAGATGCTCTGTTGGCTTTCAGCGTTCAGCCAACAGAGGAAAAAGAAACTATCTCCAGATGGGATTGACTCACATGTATGTATATGTCTGTAACTGAGTCTGCCTTCAGGGGTCCATCTGTGAACTAAATGTGTGAGTAAACTTCTTTTATAATACTTTACACAAGATTGTGTCGTGTCTATTCTTTTAAGGGAGAGAAAGGGGGATTACCAGGAATCCTATACTGAGAAGCTTAAACAAGCTTGCAACAAGCTAACCGCTGTGTGTTTAAAAGGGGAATGCACTCTGCTAAGTAAAGGGACTTGCTAACGCAAGTTAGGAAGGATATTATTAAACAATATATCCTCTCCTGCCTCCCTGAACATTCCCACAGAGGAGAGTGAGAGGAAATCTGAGAGCCGTCTTCAGATATCAAAAGCGCTGCCACATGAAGGATGGAGCAAGCTAGTTTTCTGCTGCTCCAGAGGGGAGGCCCCAAAACACTTGATTCAAATGACAAGATTGCAGATTCCGACTGAACATTAGGAAGAACTTTCTAGTGGCAAGAGTTATTGGGCAGTGGGACGGACGCGCACAAAAGATGGTGGACTCTCCTTCCTTGGAGGTTGAATGACCACCTGTCTGGGGCTCTTTAGTTGAGAATTCTGTATAGCAGGGGTTGGACTAGGGCCTCCCTGGGCCTCCCTTCCAACTTGTCTGTCCCACTGCCCAACAACTCTTGCCACCAGAAAGTTCTTAAAAGAACCGCCTTGCATTTGGCAAGACGCTCACCTCCCTCTTCCCCTTCCAACTTACCCAGAGATGACGTTGGAGACGACAAACCCCATGGGCAGGATGAGGAAGAGGCAGGAGAAATAAATGGCCGTCTGGATGAGGAAGTGAAGAGCCGCCAGGAGCAGGAGAACGTTCAGGAGCCGCTCAAGTTTGGGGAAGGAGCCTGCTTGCAGGACGGCATCGCCCGCTCCCTGGGCATGGGGAGGGTTGGAAAGAGGCTGCAGAAGCATCGTGATGTTACCTGCGTGGAAGCAGAAGCAGGAATGAGAGAGGGAGCCAATGAGGGGCCATCAGGTCAGGACTTATCATAAAACTGTAAAGTTGGAAGGGGCCCAACTCCCTGCAAGGCAAAAATCCTGCCAGTGGTGCTCTGGAGGTTAAGTGCAAGTGATCAATCAAATTTCCACTTTCTGAAACAGGGTGGGGAGCAGAATACAGCCATCCACTCAAGTTCGTACTTATCTGAATTTTGCAAGGCAGTTATCCAACATTTGCAAAAAAAAATCAAAAATCCACACATTAGGTAAAAGCGTTCATGAAAATGAATATATTCAGGAAAGTACTGTACAAAATTGCATTCCATTGGGAGAAATTGTTTGAGGAAGAGTGTACCGTAGCCAAAATTGCATACAAAAATGTGTTTATCTGCAGAAAATTGCACTAGAATGCTGAATAATTTTCAAGAGAATTAAAAAAAGAACTCAGGTTGCTGCAGGAATGTGGAGAGCTGCATGTAAAATTTGAAAATTGAGAAACTGAGAGAACCAAAATGAACTGATCTTTCCACCCCTGGGAGCACAGCCCTTTTGAAAGAAGGCGTGACGATGTCATCTATAGGGCAATTGCTGGACTCCCTTTACAGGTGATGGAGGTGACGTTGAGGCTTTAAGTTGTGGCAGATGATTAGCATTATTATCATTTATTATTTGCTGGACTGCTTTTCGTTTTCACCATAAATGGTCACAAAGCGGTTTGCAGAACAATCAATAAAAGCAATTCATCAGTCAACTAATAATGATGTTTTAAAGGAACCCAAAACACAGGTGAAAGCTTAAGTTATGCAAATAAAAATAAAATAATGTCCTCGAAATGTCTGCTGAACTAAAAACTAGTCCTCATCAAACACCCAACATTCAACCAGGAAGAGCTGATCTCAGCCTGGAGGGCATTCCACAGAATCGGGCCCACAATAATCCTGGTAGTTGCAAGCCATGCATTTGAGCCATAGGGAACCAGAGGTCACATCTGTAGTTTGGGGGTTTGGGTTTCTAGCACCCTTCACAAACTACAGTTCCCAGGATTCTTGGGGGGGGGGTAAATGTATTGTTCATGTGTGATCAACAACTCCCCCAAAGGTATTGGTCATCAGGCATGGATACGAAGATTAGCAGGGAGGGAATCAGAGGCTGGATACATCTTCCCTTTCCTTTGATGGGGTCCCCGCTTCACGCTAGCAGCTTAGAGTGTGCATTTCAGCTGACTGAAGATCCTTGGGGAAAGCTCAATGTGTTTTCCAAGTGGACCCTAGGCAGGCAGAAGCTGAGACTGGTGAGTTTAATGGAACTTACTCACAGACACGCTGCATAAAGTTGCAGTGATGCTAACCCTGATAAATCAGCTATTGTGCCATGGGCTCTTTGCAGCGGGGGGGGATTTGGGTCTGCATTTTTAAACTATCCTTTGGGACGCGGGTGGCACTGTGGGTTAAACCACAGAGCCGGACTTCCGGGTTAGCGCCATCGGCGAATGGCGGAGTTCCTCCGACCGGAGGAACAGGCTCCGTGGAAACTGGGTCTTCCCGCCGCGGCGAAGGTGGGGACCCGCTAGAAATCCCAGGCGGAGGAAGCCTGGGAACGTGGGGTTCGGCAGGGCACCAGGAGCGCCCCCCCTACACACCGGGAACCCCATTTTGGGGCTCCGGAGTGAAGTGGGGTGAGTGGCGCGGTGCTGCAAGCTGATTGCTACTTTCACGGAGTGAAGCCGCACAGCCATTGCCGGAGAGCGCTGACTTTTTCCTGTGGACAATTGGATTTAAAAGAAGTACCCGTGAGTAGAAACAGAAAATTGGATCAAGAAATACTTTAATTTGGCACCGAAGCGGGAAGGTTCAAAACAGGAAGTCCGCCTTCCGCTTTTTGTACATAGACTGAAGCAAAAACCCTGTAAGCTAAAGCCTGGAAAGTCGTTAAAAAAGTTTAAATTTCCTTCATTTATAATTACTGAAACCCCCTTGGAAGCAGGAGAAAAGGGGGGGGGGACTTTGTAACGCCTGCAGGAGAGGGAGTCAAGAAAGATAAGTTTCCACTGTCTCTAACCTGGGAACGGGGTGTCAGAGACAGAAATTCTTGGAGAGGTTCATTGACTGTGAATGGAATACTTTGACAGATAGCTAAAGAGAAATAAATTGATTCCAATGTTGCCTTCTGCATTCTAAAGAAACAAAATATCTGAAAAACGAAAGTAATTTTCCTTTGTTGGACTTGCCTTGAAAAAATGGATACAAATAGAAATTGTCTCCTCCAGAAGGAGTTTGTTAAATTGTTGCTGCAGTCTACTTGAGGACTCTACAGCTGTCAGATTAAGATCGTGGGACCAGGCCTTTTTGACCTTGACTAAATATGAGCTGGGAGGAAGTTTTGGTGCTTGCTTTATGCAAGACAAGTGCCTTGCTGGAACAGATGCATGAGAAGATGGATTTGATGAATGAGAAAATGGATTTGATGACTGTTGTGGCTAATAACTGTGGACAAACAGGGAATATTGATACAGAAACTATTCAGGGACCAACTCAGGAACCTGTACTGATTGGGCAAGTGCAGAAGATAATGGAGGAGGTTGCGGTTGCACCTCAAATAATACAAATGGAGAGACCCGAGGCCCTACAGGAGCATAAGCCGCTGTCTTTGAAGATTGAAGTTGGAGTCGGCCAGGGGGAGTCTGGAGCTGAGGAGATTCTTAACTTTGGAGAGACCTCGAAATATGTTTTTAAATATTTTTTGGACTACATTGATGACTGTGGGAGTGGGACTCTGGGGAATGGGCTGGTTGGATGAAGGGAGACGAAGATAATTTTGGGTTGGAATCCCCCAGAGACCTACTCCCCAACGAGAAAGGAAAGAAACTAAGAAAGAGACCAACAAAAGACAAGGAAAAGTGCAAGTATAAACAAGAAGAAGAACATCTGCAGAAGGGACATGGAAGAGACTTAAGGGCCTCGGACATTAGATTACCAGGTTGATGGACTAGATGGAATGGACAGTAAGGACTGACACGACCCGAGACCAGGAAGAAGAGACGTTGGATGAAGATTGGAAGAAAATTTATAAAGAAAAAAAAATTTCTAGGGAATTAGCCTAAAATTAATGAACATTAGGGAAAATGTTGGAATGAAACTATATGACTCTAGTAGAAAAGATACCAGGAGTTATGCATAATCGAGTATTAAGTGTTAAGCTCTAAAGTATTTTTTGGTAAGATAAGGTTAAATAACTTAAGGTAATTTGAATAACAGAATATGGGGAAAGGATGGAAAGGATTTGTTGAGTTAATTAATAGGTAAATGGTTAAGATAAATTATTTAGTAAAAATTGAGAAAGATGGAAAGAATTTGCTGAAATAATCAATTAAACTAGAATACAAAAAGGGAGGTGTGAGGAGGTCAATGAAACAAGCAAATGGAAGTTAAAGATATGTAATATGGGATGTGTCTTCTTCTTTTTTTCCTTTTTTATCTTTTTGCTGTATAGTTGCATTGGTTTTTATGTCTTTTTTTTCTCTTGGTTTTTTTCCTATGTATTGTAGCGTTGTTTTTAATTTTTTTCTTTCTTCTGCAATTTTGAAATTATTAATAAATATTATTTTTAAAAAAATAAATAAACCACAGAGCCTAGGACTTGCCAATCAGAAGATCGGGGGTTTGAATCCACGTGACGGGGTGAGCTCCTGTTGCTCAGTCCCTGCTCCTGCCAACTTAGCAGTTTGAAAGCACATCAAAGTGGAAGTAGATAAATAGGTACCGCTCCAGCGGGAAGGTAAACGGCATTTCCGTGCGCTGCTCTGGTTCGCCAGAAGCGGCTTAGTCATGCTGGCCACATGACCCGGAAGCTGTACGCCAGCTCCCTCAGCCAATAAAGCGAGATGAGCGCCGCAACCCCAGAGTCGGCCACGACTGGACCTAACGGTCAGGGGTCCCTTTACCTTTACCTGGGGCAAGGCCTAGGGAGGCTGTCAGGATAAGCTCCTGCGTGCACGTCAAAATTTACCATACCAGCGCCAGTTTTCCTGCCAAGCTAACTTAGTCTTCACTAGCTCATGGATTAAGTTGCATGCTTAGTTTTTGTTGAGAGTTTGGGATCAGCCTTTCTATTGCCAACAGTGACTGCCACCGAATATTAAGTCAAATCCTACCCCTGCTAAGGATGTTCTCGTGTTAATTGTTGTGTCAGGTTCTGCACTTAGGCAGGAAGAACCAGCTGAACAAATATAAGATGGGGAACACCTGGCTTACTAGCAGCATATGTGAAAAGGATCTAGGGGTCTTGGTGGACCACAAGCTTAACTTGAGTCAACAGGGTGATGCAGCAGCAAAAAAAAAGCTAATGCTATTCTAGGCTGCATCAACAGAAGTCTAGTGTCCAGATCAAGGGAATAATACACTATTTTCTGCCTTGCTCAGCCACCGCCTGGAATACTGTGTCCAGTTCTGGGCACCACAATTTGAGGAGGATATTGACAAGCTGGAACGTGTGCAGAGGAGGGCAACCAATAAGATCAAGGGTCTGGAAACTAAGCCTTATGAGGAATGGTTGAAGGAATTGGGCATGTTTAGGCTGGAGAAGAGGAGTCTGAGAGGGAGATATGATAAAGGTAAAGGGACCCCTGACCATTAGGTCCAGTCGTGGCCAACTCTGGGGTTGCGGCGCTCATCTTGCTTTATTGGCCGAGGGAGCCGGCGTACAGCTTCCGGGTCATGTGGCCAGCATGACTAAGCCGCTTCTGGAAAACCAGAGCAGCGCACAGAAACGCCGTTTACCTTCCCGCTGGAGCAGTACCTATTTATCTACTTGCACAGGTGTGCTTTCGAACTGCTAGGTTGGCAGGAGCAGGGACCGAGCAACAGGAGCTCACCCCGTTGCGGGGATTCGAACCGCTGACCTTCTGATTGGCAAGTCCTAGGCTCTGTAGTTTAACCCACAGCACCACCCATGTCCTTGGGAGATATGATAGCCATCTTCAAATATCTAAAGGGCCGTCACATGGAAGATGGAGCAAGCTTGTGTTCCTCTGCTCCAGAGGGCAGGATCTGAACCAATTCAAGTTATCAGAAAGGTGATTCTAACTAAACACCAGGAATAACTTTCTGACGGTAAGAGCTGCTCAACAGCGGAATAGACTCCCTTTGGGGGGTTATGGACTCTCCTTCCTTGGAGGTTTCTAAGCAGAGGTTGAGCGGCCATCTGTCAGGGGTGCTTTAGCTGAGATTCCTGAGATTGCAGCGGGTTGGACTAGATGACCCTCAAGGTCCCTTCCAACTCTACAATGATTCTATGATCCTGCCCACCTGGAGGCTCCGTGTTTCAAAGAAGGACTTCAGAAGGATGGCTCCTCATCACCTCCAAGGCTCACCTCCCAGTCCGTGCAGATTTTGGCCATTCAGCTGGACACTCACATTATTTCCAGCACTAAAGATGGTCCTGTGCCCCTGCTCTCTTTCCCCCACCCCACCAACCCCCAACCACGCTCCCCTTCTGACCGCTGGGCTGCTGCCTGGCTGCTCCCCTCAGCAATCCATCCCACTGAGGTCACAAACAGAACCAGCTAGGCTCATCTGCATAAAAGGCAAGCGTGGTCACTTTTTGGTCTGACCGCAGCTCCTCGGGCCTTTCAGTGCGGCTTGCAGAAAATCAAGCAAACATACTTATTTATTTGTCTGTTCTATACCATCTATGTGCTGCTGGATTGTAAAAACTAAAATCTTGCAGCGGTTTACCCCCCCCCCCCAAAAAAAGAGGAGAAAATAATGTACAATTATCCATAGTAAGAAAAATCAACAATAATGGAAAACTTTTTAAAAATTAAAACACTGATAGACTGAAAACTGATTGAAATCCACAGCAAAGCTTTCTCTATCACATTTGCACAAAACCCAGGAAGCTTGCACAAGCTAACACTGATATTAGACTACGTTTCATCTTTATTTAGCCTTCTTCCTGATGTGTTTATGGAGGTGTTATATAACAAGCATTCCTCCTTGTTGGCTTGCGATCTGTTGACACATTTCACGGATAACCATTCCTTCATCCCACACTTTTCAATTGTCAAGGTGGGGGTTGGAATCAGGGGTTGATCTACACACGGGGAGGGACCCCACTATAAATAAGTCAGAAATTAGATCGTTATAACAAAAGAGGGGGGAACCTATCAGGAATTGTGTATAAAAATTTCCTGCTCACTTGTGCCATCTGGTGTTGCATGTTTATAGCGCATTCAGATCGTCATTTCTTTACTAATGTAGCTGAGTCCCCGGTCAACAATAATTCACAAGGTGTCAGTGAAGATGGCTCTTTATTCAAAGAAACAAAACAGCTCAAGATTAGTTAGCGCAGCAACACTTCCCATCAGATCTTACCCCAGTCCCTTCCCAAACACTCTGAGGCTCCTTTATCTTGTCCATCTTTGCTCCGCCCTCTTCATACCTCTTTGGGTTCTGGGAGACCAGTGGGGAGTGGAGCTGGTCGCCGCAGGAGGGGGAAGACCCCCTGGCTTCTTCAGCTCATAGGGCTGCCATATTTTGAAGAGCAAAAAAGAGGACACATTTGCCGACTTCTACTTTTAACTAGGGATGACGACTCTCATTTTAAATACCCCTGCTATATGTAGGCTATAGAAGCTGTGATGTATTGCTGGTAGCAATGTTCTTAACTTTCAACAACAAAATAATAATAATAATACATATTGCTCCTTCACTTGCCACATGAAAGTACCTTGGTGAAAATAAGTGTGCACAGAACAATTTATTAAACTGTTTAACATGTACATATGGGCTCTCTTTAAGGGCAGGGTGGTGTTAACTCTTGCCCTCCCAGACTCCTCCTCGAAGATCTTGTAACTGAGCCAGCATCCTTTGACTTCAGCCACAAGAGAAGGGATTTTTACAGGATGGAGATGCTTTAAGATGTTGCTCTGTTGTGATTCTCTGCTGCAGACTAGCTTAGCCGGGTGCCTTAGATCTGAGTCTAATGCACTAGACAATTTTTCTTGGGTTACTGTAAACAAAACAAAACAAAACAAAACAACCTGGACATTTTGCCAAATTTTATAAATCTGCCCGGAGAGAAATTTTAATCCTCTAAAAGAGGACGAGTCCTGGAAAAAGAGGACATATTGCAACCCTCAGCAGCCTGCCTCCACTTTGCGTCTTGGCCCCCCTCCTCTTTAGCCTCTGCTTCTGCCCCTGGTTCTGGACTGCTCTCTGCCACAGCCTCTTCCTGCTCACTAAACCTTGTTGCCTCTTCAGCTTCCGACACCTCCACTTCCCATTCTGCTCCCTCTTCTCCCTCTGACCATTGTCATCCCACCACCAGTCCCCTGGCTCTGAGCCTTCTTCCCTTGGGGGTTCCCTAGCTGGTGTCTATGCCCACGCCCACCCCCTGTGTCTAACCAGTCCGTGACATCAATACATTGATCTATCACTTTCCAAACTACAAGTCTGCTTTTTCGAAGCAGGTAAATAAAAAGTGGATTTGCTTGAATCCACTTTAATTGCACAGATCTGAAGTTCATATATACAGTTCAATTCCTTCTGCAAAACACCAGCAATGTGTCTAGTGCCACCTTCAGATGGTTAAAAGGATACGTTGAACTGGGCTGAAATGTGGAAGACGCATGCAGCTCTGTTGCCATCTTGTGTCCATAAGGGGGGAAAGCACAAAGAGCAAAAAAACCCCAAACCCCACAAATCCTTAATTAGAGCTGTCAAGCTTCTGTAAAAGTGGATTCACTCTGTCTTGGGCACCAGGTACATTTTCTTCCCCCCATGATCAGACTTGGGAGAAACCAGTTTTGCAAGGTTCAAGCAAACACAGGCTATTTTCCAGGGGTGTTTCATCTGTATCACTAGGCGAAAGGTCCTGAAATCCCACATTTTCCAAATCCGTTTGGTGCATTGGAATGGGAAACTAGCAAATGCCCCTCTTACATATGGAAAGTGGGTTGTCTGCTGGTCTCCCACTCCTTTGCACAGGGACCACACATTCTGCCTGTTTGCATTTTGGATCAGCAGATACATTGCTCATTTTAAAAAACCTGCCCATGGATCCTTCGCAAGCAGCTCACAAATCCCACAGACACTTCTCCTCTTATTATATATATATTCATACCCCCCACCTTTTGGTGGCGCTGTGGTCTAAACCACAGAGCCTAGGACTTGCCGATCAGAAGGTTGGCGGTTCAAATCCCCGCGACGGGGTGAGCTCCCGTTTGCTTGGTCCCAGCTCCTGCCAACCTAGCAGTTCGAAAAAAGTGCAAGTAGATAAATAGGTACTGCTCTGTCAGGAAGGTAAACGGTGTTTCCGTGCACTGCTCCGGTTCACCAGAAGCAGCTTAGTCATGCTGGCCACATGAACCGGAAGCTGTACGCCGGCTCCCTCAGCCAATAAAGCGAGATGAGCGCCGCAACCCCAGAGTCGGCCACGACTGGACCTAATGGTCAGGGGTCCCTTTACCTTTACCTAATATAGTAGACAGATAATATAAGGATTTATACAATTTTACAGTATGCAGAGAACAAAATGTGTTGAGAAATCAGAGAGAGGAGCTGAGAGAAGTCTTGTGAGGCGAGGGTTCGTTGGGGAGGTGGGAAATAATGAAGATGATATGTTTTGAAATTTTGTTATGTTGAAATTGTTTTGTAATAATAATAAAGCACTAAGGGGCCGAAGAGCTTCTTTTCCTTCCCCTTCAGTAACACAGACACAGGAGCCAATGATGGCTACGAACATAGATGGCTTTAAAAGAATCTTGGACAAATTCATGGAGGAGAAGTCTATTGATGTCTGCTAGCCAAGAGGCCTATCTTCTGCCTCCACAGCAGCAAATGCTTCCAGATACCAATTGCTGGAAACCACAGGAGAGAAGAAGCCTCTTGTTTTTGGACCCTGCTTACCTGTTTCCCACAGGCACCTGGGCGGCTGCTGTGAGAAGAGGATGCTGGACTTAGATGGGAGCTTGGCCTGACCCAACAGCCAGGCTCTTTTAATGGAACCTCCAGGTCCAAATCAGTCTATCTGGATTCCTGGGTTCTTAGGGGTATTTGGCCACTGTGAAAACAGGATGCTGGCCTAGAAGGGTCCTTGGCTTGCTCCAGCAGGTTCTGCTTATATATTCCTAAGGACCTGAAAAATGAAGAACTTCTCTCTCGCCTCTGAAGAGGGCTCCATTACCAAATCCTGGAAAACTTTCAATCTCAGTAATCTGGACTGCTTGTACTTCAGCGTTTGCCAGATTTCGCTCCTTGAAAAGGTCTCTCATAAACTAAAAGTATCTGAAGTGAAGAGTTCAAATGAGTGCTATTTGGCTGCGTGGCACAATTTCGTTTCTTATACAAATATTGAGGCACACAGTCGCTCAGTCGCACCGGTATAAGCAAACGCCTGGTTCATTTAAGATTTTATAGAATGTATACTTGTAATTAGGGACGCGGGTGGTGATGTGGGTTAAACCACTGAGCCTAGGGCTTGCCGATCAAAAGGTCCCCGCGATGGGGTGAGCTCCTGTTGCTCGGTCCCTTCTCCTGCCAACCTAGCAGTTCGAAAGTACCTCAAAGTGCAAGTAGATAAATAGGTACACTTGCACACAGGGCTTTAAAGCATAGACTATGCCTGTAAAGGGGGCATGGGTGGCACTGTGGTCTAAACCACAGAGCCTAGGACTTGCCGATCGGAAGGTCGGCTGTTCGAATCCCCGCGACGGGGTGAGCTCCTGTTGCTCGGTCCCTGCTCCTGCCAACCTAGCAGTTCGAAAGCACGCCAGTGCAGGTAGATAAATAGGTACAGCTCTGGCGGGAAGGTAAACGGCGTTTCCGTGCACTGCTCTGGTTCGCCAGAAGTGGCTTAGTCATGCTGGCCACATGACCCGGAAGCTGTACGCCAGCTCCCTTGGCCAATAAAGCGAGATGAGCGCCGCAACCCCAGAGTCGGCCACGACTGGACCTAATGGTCAGGGGTCCCTTTAACTTTAGCTTTTATACTTGTAATAATGTTGGCGCTCACTGGTGGAGAAAACTTTTAGTTGTATATATATTTGCAATCAAGCATTTTTTTTAATGAAATGAATAATAAAGCAATAAGATAGATGGGACCAGGCTATTTCCCTGGCCCACCAAACTTAACCTGCCAGCCCCCAGACCCTTCCCCATTCACCCTCATGGAGCAGCCTCCGCTGGACGGCTTTAGACAGACAGCACTACAGACTCGGCAACTCACATTTCCCAAAGCGCCATGTATTCAAATTCACCCTTTATTGAGCTGGAGATTGCAGGAAGGAGGTTGCCGCTCTCAATGTCTCCTCTCCCTCAAAGATGAAGGCCAAAGGCACGAGGAGGAGGAAGTAGAAGAGGAAGAGGGAGCTGTAGGAGAGGAAGTAGAGGAAGCCCAAGCACACCACGATGTCCAGGAACTCCTCAAAGCGGGCAAATAGGTCCATGGCAGGGAAGGCGGCAGGGGGCAGCTTCTCCCAAGGTGTCGGGGCGTCCCTGGAGGTGGAGAGATCAGGGAGGAGGCTGGAGTGAAAAGCCTGTGAGGATGTGCCCAGGTGACTGCTTCGATCAGAGGAATGGGCACTGTTGCAGGCAGGGATTGTTGTTTTTTCCAAGGGGTACTCCAATTCCAATTAAACTTTTTTATTGCACTAGCCATAGGCCATGGCATCATTGAGAAGGAAGACAAAAAGAAAAAAGAAAAAAAAATAACCATAACCATAACCATAAAAATCATCGGGCACAGACATGCAACAAAACCACGGTCATGGCTACTAAAATTATTTGTTGCATTAAATAGAATAGAATAGCAGAAGATTCTCAGGTAAGATGTGCCAAATTAAATATCAGAATCCCCTTTGCAGTTGACCGCTATTTTGTCTAGTTCCTTCCTCCTGATCTTCTTAGCTGCTAGCGCATAGAGTGCTACTTTATAAGTAACAAAGTCATCGGTGTCGCCCAGCAGCCATTTCACCCTTTCCACCCTATTCAAATATGTTCCATTCGTAAACAGGGATTTTATAAATTCGTCTAACGGGCATTGCAAGAAGTACCCAAGGGCCCGCAGTACAGGCACCCCTTTTTTGTTGTTAAAAAGTGTGGCACATTCCTTGTTTCTCTAGAGTCGACGCAGACAGGGGGATGTTACTCCAGCCAGTATAACTTTCTGTTACACCTGGTCTGGAGCATCCTTCCTCAGCATGTGACCAGGTAGGTGGGTGTGACCCCGGGAGACCCCACAAAAGGTCCAGCCGTGCAGCCATATTTCTCTCTTTTACTCTTCTTCCAGCAGACATGGGATGAATCCCCATATGGGATTAATCCACAGCTATCTCTGTAACTATAGTGGTACCTCGGGTTAAGAACTTAATTCGTTCTGGAGGTCCGTTCTTAACCTGAAACTGTTCTTAACCTGAGGTACCACTTTAGCTAATGGGGCCTCCCGCTGCCGCCGCCGCACGATTTCTGTTCACACCCTGAAGCAAAGTTCTTAACCTGAGGTACTATTTCTGGGTTAGTGGAATCTGTAACCAGAAGCACCTGTAACCTGAAGCGTCTGTAACCCGAGGTACCACTGTACAGTCATACCTCGGGTTACAGACACTTCAGGTTGTGTTTTTTTTGGTTACGGACCCACCGAAACCCGGAAGTACCAGAACAGGTTACTTCTGGATTTTGGCAGTTGTGCATGCTCAGAAGCGCTAAATCGTGCTTTGCACAAGCGCAGAAGCACCAAATTGCAACCCGCACATGCACAGACACACCGCTGCAGGTTGTGAATGCTGCAGGTTGTGAAAGTGCAGCCTGCACGGATCACGTTCGCAACCCAAGCGTCCACTGTATAAGCCAGAGCCTGCCTTCAGGGATCATACTGTGAACTAATTGTAAGTAAACTTCTGGTTACTTTCATTTTTTTTTTAAAAAAAAAGATATTTATTGAGAATTTTAAAGTTACAAAGAAAAAAGAAGGAAAAAACAAGAGAAAGAAAGAAAAAGGTAGATAAAAGTAACAATTAAACAATACAAATCAATAAAAACCAAAGTCAAAAAGAAAAAACAAAACACACAATACATCAAAAGCAAAAAGCAAAAATAAACAAAAAAATTTAAAAACAAATCCAATATTCCCAAATCCTTAACTTTCATTAACTTATTTCATCGACCTCCTCACACCTCCCTTTTTGTATTCTAGTTATTAATTATCTCAGCAAATCCTTTCCATCTTTCACAATATTCTGTCATTAAATTACCTTAATCTATTTTAACCTTATCTTACCATAAAAAACCCTAAAACTTAAAACTTAAATCTTATTTATACCAAATTCTTTTAACCGTAACATATTCTTACATAATTCTTTTTAACATTTCTGCTAAAGCCAAATAATTTCATTCCAACATTTTTCTAATACTCATTAATTTTACGATACTTTTCTAAATAAATTTTTAAAACTTTCTTCCAATCTTCATCCATCATCTCTTCTTCCTGGTTTCGGGTTTTGTCAGTCCTTTCTATCCCATCCATCTAGTCCATCAACCTGGTGACCTTCTATCCGAGGCTCTTAAGTCTTTTCCATGTCCCTTCCGCAGGTCTTCTTCATGTTTGTACCTGTACTTTACTTTGTCTTCTGCTCCTTTCACTCAGGAAGACTCCAACTTGACAGATGGGTTTGATCCATCTTTTAGATTTAGGGGAGCTAGTCTCAAACGTTTGTTGGGGGAGACCTAGGTTTTTTTGTGGGGGGAGTTATTTGTCCTGTCTTCACACTTTTTATGATGGAGGACCGCTGTAGCCACCCCCAACAACACGTTCTCAAGATGGAGGGGAGGGAACAGCTGCAGTCGCCTGTAGTTCCTGCGCAATGTTTGCCATCTTGCCAAAGGTTGCAGGCAGCTTTACCTGCAGCAATTGCATGTTGATTGCCCTCTTAAAAGACAAAGTCCAGCAACTGGAGGAACGTGTAGCTACGCTCCAAAGAATTAGAGAGCTGGAGCTCTTCTTGGAAGCAACAGAGCACACCGTCTCCACCAAGGAGGAGACAGGGGACTCCACTGAGAAGGACACTAGTTCACCAACACAGGAGCCAGATATATGGAGAAACGTGACTCAAAGAAGTAGGAGGCCCAGGGTTCGCTCTGATTGTTTAGAAATACACAATCGCTTTGAGGTCCTCTCCCTAGCATGGAAGACGAAGAGCAGACTCCATTTGAGGATCTCTCCTCATTACAGTCGATCAGGTATATGAAGACGAGCAGCAAAGTCAGTCCTCAGGGAATGTGCAGGCGACCTTGGAGCGGACAGCTCACGGAAGAACCCCAACCAAACCTAAGAGGAGGCGTGTAGTGGTGATAGGGGATTCCCTACTGAGGGGAACAGAAGCAGTGATCTGTGGGCCTGACAAGATGTCTCGGGAAGTGTGCTGTCTCCCGGGGCTAAGATCCAAGATGTAACTGAACGACTGCAAGGAATCATAAAACCCACTGACAAATACCCCTTCCTCTTGGTTCATGTGGGAACCAATGACACTGCAAGCAATAGCCTCCAGAAGATCAAAAGAGACTACGAGGCTCTGGGCAGGAAATTGAAGCAATTAAATGCACAAATTGTCATCTCATCTGTCCTCCCAGTTGAACAACGTGGCCCAGGGAGAGAGGGGAAAATAGTGGAAGTGAACAGCTGGCTTCGCAAATGGTGTAAACAGGAACGGTTTGGATTCTTAGATCACGGACTGCAGTTTCTTGAAGATGGACTTCTGGCAAGCGATGGGCTGCACCTCACAACGGTTGGGAGGAATGTTTTTGCCAAAATCTCAGAAACCTCATCAGGAGGGCTTTAAACTGACTAATGTGGGGGAGGGAGACAGTGCTCCTGAAGGTAGGAGTCTATCAATTGATGAAGATGATCATCCAAATGTCATAGACCAAATGGAGCAAACAGCACGCAGACCTAGTAGTGGGAGGAAAAAATCCTTAAATAAGAGTCACGGGGGAATGATTAATGGACTTCAATGTCTGTACACTAATGCGCAAAGCATGGGAAATAAACAAGATGAGCTTGAGCTCTTGGTACAGCAAACTAAATATGACATAATAGGCATCACTGAAACCTGGTGGGATAAGTCCCACGATTGGAATGTAATAATGGGGGATACAATCTATTTCAGAGAAACAGACCAGACAAGAAAGGAGGAGGAGTGGCGTTATATGTCAGGGATGTGTATACCTGTGAAGAGATCCAAGATTTAGAACCTCAAAGCCAAAGTGAGAGCATTTGGGTCAAAATTAAGGAGAGAAGAATAACAGTGACCTCATTGTGGGAGTTTACTATAGATCCCCAAGCAAAACAGAGGACATAGATGATGCCTTCCTGGAACAGATGGCCAAGCATGCAAAAGGAAGGAGATAGTAGTAATGGGGGACTTCAATTACCCGGATATTTGTTGGATGTCAAACTCAGCCAAGAGCATAAGGTCAAACAGATTCCTCACTGGCCTTGCAGACAACTTCATTGTCCAGAAAGTGGGAGAAGCAACAAGAGGAACAGCCATTTTAGATCTGGTCCTAACCAATGTTGATGACCTGGTTAGTGGGGTAGAAGTGGAAGGATCATTAGGCGCGAGTGATCATGCTCTTCTGAAGTTTACTATACAGCGGAAAGGAGCAGCCAAGCATACTAGGACTCAATTTCTTGACTTTAAGAAAGCTGACTTCATAAAACTTAGGGAAGTGCTGGGTGAGATCCCATGGACAGTAATACTAAAAGGAAAGGGAGTTCATGATGGCTGGGAGTTTGTTAAGAGGGAGATACTAAAAGCACAACATCAGGCAATACCAATGAGACAGAAACATGGAAGGTGCCTAAAGAAGCCAGGGTGGCTATCTAAAGAACTTTTAACTGAGTTAAGATTAAAAAGGATGTGTACAAAAATGGAAAAGGGGGAAACCACCAAAGAGGAATTCAAACAAATAGCCAGCACGTGTAGACACAAAGTCAGAAAAGCTAAAGCACAGAATGAACTCAGGCTTGCTAGAGAGGTTAAAAGCAACAAAAAAGGCTTTTATGGGTATGTCCGTAGCAAAAGGAAGAACAAAGAAACAGTGGGGTCACTCAGAGGAGAAGATGGTGAAATGCAAACAGGGGACACAGAAAGAGCTGAACTCCTCAATGCCTTCTTTGCCTCAGTCTTCTCCGATAAAGAAAACAATGCCCGACCTGAAGAATTTGGAGCAAATGATTCAGCAAAGGAAACACAGCCCAGAATAACTAAGGAGATAGTACAAGAATACTTGGCTAGTTTAGATGTATTCAAGTCTCCAGGGCCAGATGAACTGCATCCAAGAGTATTAAAAGAACTGGCAGATGTGATCTCAGAACCACTGGCAGTCATCTTTGAGAATTCCTGGAGAACAGGCGAAGTCCCGGCAGACTGGAGGAGGGCAAATGTTGTCCCTATTTTCAAAAAGGGGAAAAGAGAGGACCCAAATAATTACCGCCCAGTCAGTCTGACATCAATACCAGGGAAGATTCTGGAGCAGATCATTAAGCAAACAGTCTGTGAGCACCTAGAAAGGAATGCTGTGATCACCAATAGTCAGCATGGATTTCTGAAAAATAAGTCATGTCAGACTAACCTGATCTCGTTTTTGACAGAATTACAAGCCTGGTAGATGAAGGGAACGCAGTGGATGTAGCCTACCTTGATTTCAGCAAGGCATTTGACAAGGTGCCTCATGATATTCTTGTAAAGAAGCTGGTAAAATGCGGTCTTGACTATGCTACCACTCAGTGGATTTGTAACTGGCTGACTGACCGAACCCAAAGGGTGCTCATCAATGGTTCCTCTTCATCCTGGAGAAGAGTGACTAGTGGGGTGCCACAGGGTTCTGTCTTGGGTCCGGTCTTATTCAACATCTTTATCAACGACTTGGATGATGGACTCAAGGGCATCCTGATCAAATTTGCAGATGACACCAAATTGGGAGGGGTGGCTAACACCCCAGAGGACAGGATCACACTTCAAAACGACCTTGACAGATTAGAGAACTGGGCCAAAACAAACAAGATGAATTTTAACAGGGAGAAATGTAAAGTATTGCACTTGGGCAAAAAAATGAGAGGCACAAATACAAGATGGGGACACCTGGCTTGAGAGCAGTACATGTGAAAAGGATCTAGGAGTCTTGGTTGACCACAAACTTGACATGAGCCAACAGTGTGACGCGGCAGCTAAAAAGCCAATGCAATTCTGGGCTGCATCAATAGGAGTATAGCATCTAGATCAAGGGAAGTAATAGTGCCACTGTATTCTGCTCTGGTCAGACCTCACCTGGAGTACTGTGTCCAGTTCTGGGCACCACAGTTCAAGAAGGACATTGACAAACTGGAACGTGTCCAGAGGAGGGCAACCAAAATGGTCAAAGGCCTGGAAACGATGCCTTATGAGGAACGGCTAAGAGAGCTGGGCATGTTTAGCCTGGAGAAGAGGAGGTTAAGGGGTGATATGATAGCCATGTTCAAATATATAAAAGGATGTCACATAGAGGAGGGAGAAAGGTTGTTTTCTGCTGCTCCAGAGAAGCGGACACGGAGCAATGGATCCAAACTACAAGAAAGAAGATTCCACCTAAACATTAGGAAGAACTTCCTGACAGTAAGAGCTGTTTGACAGTGGAATTTGCTGCCAAGGAGTGTGGTGGAGTCTCCTTCTTTGGAGGTCTTTAAGCAGAGGCTTGACAACCATATGTCAGGAGTGCTCTGATGGTGTTTCCTGCTTGGCAGGGGGTTGGACTCGATGGCCCTTGTGGTCTCTTCCAACTCTATGATTCTATGATTCTATGATTCTATGAATATTTTTGTCCCTTCTCGACAAGTCAGCCCCTTTTCCATAGTCAACACTGAAATCCATGTGATATTTAAAGGCATGTTTCAAAGTCCCTCCAAAGTTAAGGGCCCCCACAACTCCGAACTCCCCCCGGCCCAAAGCCAAACTTGAAAGGTCAAAACATCCCTGCATAGGGGGATCCATCCAGACCCCCATCTCCAAGCCAAACAAAACTCCATCTCTCCAAATCTGATTTTTTCCAGGTTCATTCGTCAAATCCAACAACTCATGTTCCTGCTGGGCCACAGCTCCCTCCATCTCTGCCACCCGAGGTTCCACAACAACCTCCTCCCTCATCTGATCTGTCAAAGCACATTCCTGGATTAATTCCTGAGTGGGTTCTATATAGATACCCACTGCCTGTCCAAAATTTCCGATCGCAACAGTCATCAAATCCATCTTCTCATGTAACTGTTCCAATAAAGCACTTGTCTTGCAAAGAGCAAGCACCAAAACCTCCTCTGAGCACATTCTTGTTCAAGGTCGAAGTCTGGTCCCACGATCTTTAATCTCTACAGCTGCAAAGCTTCCCAGTTCGACTTTAATAACAGTTTCACAAGCTCCCTCTAGGGGAAACAATTTCTATTTGTATCCATCTTTTTTTTAAAAAAAAAAAGCAGATCTAGCAACAAAGTTTTCCTTTTTCGGATATTTTGTCGATATTTTGTTCCTTTTAAATGCGAAAGGGAACAATGGAATCAATATGTTTCTCTTCTTTTGACTATCTGTCAAAAACGTTTGTCCATAGTCAATGAACGTCCCCAAAACGTCTGTCCTGACACCCCGTTCCCAGGTTCAAGACGGTGGAAAATTACCTTTCTTTACTCTCTCTTCTGCAGGTTTAGAGAGTCTAAAAAAGGTTCCCCCCTCTTCTCCTGCTTCCAAGGGGGGTTCAGTAATTTTAAATGATGAAAATTTAATCCTTTACAAACGACTTTCCAGACTCTAGCTTGCCGTGTCTTTGCTTCAATCTATCTACAAAAGCGGAAGGCGGACTTCCTGTTTAGACCTTCCCGCTTTCGGTGCCTAATTAAGAAATTTCATAGTCCAATTTTCCGTTCTACTCATGGGCAGTTGTTTAAAATCCAATTGTCCACAGGAAAAAGTCAGCGCTCTCCGGCAACAGCAATGCGGCTTCACTCCGTGAAAGAAGCAGTCAATTCAAAGCACCGCGCCACTCACCCCACGTCGCTCCGGATCCCCAAAACCGGGGTTCCCCGCGAGTAGGGGGGGGCGCAAAGGTGCCAGCCGAATCCCACGTCCACAGGCTTCTCCCGCCTGTGGTTTTTGATGGGTCTCCGCCTCACCGTGGCGGTTCAGACCCTGTTTTCCACGGAGCGGATTCCTCCCGATCGGAGGAAATCCGCCATTGCCAGAGGCGCCAACCCGGAAGTCAACTTCTTGTTACTTTCAAAGAAAGACTGCTGTGTCTTTATTCTTTTGAGATGGATCAAAAGGGGATTTACCAGGAATAATCCAATCTGGGCAAGCCAGACTGGATTGCTTAACTAAAGAGATTCAAATGAATCTGCAAGCTAGCTTCCTACTTTATAAGGGGAATGTGCTCTGCTACTTGACTCACTAGTGTGAGTAAGACTAATATTTAATCAATATATCCTCTCCTACTATACACAACATTCCCACAGGAACTCCCTGCCTATTGAAATCAGGCAGGTGCCTTGGCTGTACTCATTTCAGCCCCTACGAAAAGCGCTTTTGTTTAAACCAGCCTACCCAGAAGTTTAGAAAGTTGGTGCTGTGAGATGTGATCTATTTTTAGTCTGCTGATATTTCACCTTTTTGACAGTCTTAGATTATAGCTGTCGGTTTTTCTTATTGATAGTTTTATTCATAGGGTTGTAGAGTTGGACGGGACCCCAAGAGTCATCTAGTCCACCCCCCTGAAATGCAGGAATCCTGCTCAGAGCTGTCCCAGGTTGGGCTCTGAGAGGAATAATTTATGTTGCTTTTTGATTGCCTTTTCAGAATAAATGTTGCTCTTATTTATTGCACTTGGGGACAGGGAATAAATATTTATGTTTTGATTAAATTGGGAGTGCCTGCTTTTTCGGGTCACCCACTTGGAAGTGTATATTCTCAATAACGTATTGCTGTTTCACCAATTTTACCCAGAATTTATTTTAAAAGGTGCAGGGATTTTAAATCTTAGGAACCAGTGTTTTACTTCTCATAGGCTTAAACCACCAACCTTCTGGTTAACAGCACTAACCCATCGCACCAAACCTGTCTTATTCTTTTATCTTTTTTTTTTTGTAAACCACTTTAAGGTTTTTATTTTATTTTTATTTACAACTAAGCGGCATATAAATTTTGCGAAATAAATTAGTAAGAGAGCATCTAAAGCTATGGTTTCCCCAGTAGTGGTATATGGAAGTGAGAGCTGGACCATAAAGAAGGCTGATCGCCGAAGAATTGATGCTTTTGAATTCTGGTGCTGGAGGAGACTCTTGAGAGTCCCATGGACTGCAAGATGATCAAACCTCTCCATTCTGAAGGGAATCAGCCCTGAGTGCTCACTGGAAGGACAGATCCTGAAGCTGAGGCTCCAAGACTTTGGCCACCTCATGAGAAGAGAAGACTCCCTGGAAAAGACCCTGATGCTGGGAAAGATGGAGGGCACAAGGAGAAGGGGACGACACAGGATGAGATGGTGGGACAGTGTTCTCGAAGCGACCAGCATGAGTTTGACCAAACTGCGAAAGGCAGTGGAAGACAGGAGGGCCTGGCATGCTCTGGTCCATGGGGCCACGAAGAGTCGGACACGACTAAACAACTAAACAACAACAACAAATACAAAGAGGGCATCTAAACACGTGCAGAGTGCTTTTGACTCTCCGCCTGCTAGCTGCAGCTTGCTCTAAAATATTTGCAGTTAGGATCTGTGGGCCTGCCTAGCACCCAGGGCTTACCTCCTTCAGAAACCGGGCATCTTCTCTGTGCCTTCCTTAACTCCTGAACCGCCAAGTTGGCCTCATGCCCACTCCTTCCTCACCCCCTCCTTTCCTTAGGTTTTGTTGCCTTTATTTTAAGGGTGCCAGAGCAGGTTCTGGGTGACTCCCAGAGAGATAATGCACTGGGTTGCTTTGAGCAGAGGATAGTTCAGCATTTGCACCCCTCTCCACCTTCCGGGCTTCATAGAGCAGAAAAGACCCCGCAATAAGACCAGATTTGGCATAAACAAGCCAAGCTGAGCATCAGCCGCACCCAGGATTCCCTGGCAGGGGCTGCCTGTTCTGTGAACCTTCCCCTTGAAACATGACTGCATTGGGTGGGGAGTCTGCCTCTGATGTCATAAACTGAAGGAATTGCATCATGGGCAACACATCTCCACTTCTGTCCTTAAAAAGACAGGTTTGGTTTGGACTCAGGAAGAACGTCCCTGGCTCAGCCTGTGATGCAGGACAATCCCCCAAATCCTTTTTCTTTCTCTGAAAGTGTTCGTGTCAGGGGGTGTTTTGCTAGGAGAAGCAAAACTCTGATCCTAAACCTCCTTTGCTTTGCACAGGGCGGAAACGAAGCTTTATTTTACTCTGGTCAAAGGCCCAGTTTGGCACACCCAGGCTGGGAGCCTCAATGGTGGCCCTCTGGAGGCTTCGCTCAGGGCAATTGTGGGAATGTTCAGGGATGCAGGAGAAGGATATATTGTCTGATTATAGCCTTTCCAACTCGCGTTAACAAGGTCACAATTTAGCAGAGTAACATTCCCCTTTTTTAAACTCACAGCGGATGCATTTGCTCAGGCTCGCTAAAGCCTCTATAATAACTGTTCTGGTATTTTTCCCTTATTCCCTCATAAAAGATAAGAGACAACACAGTCTTCTATAAAAGTATAAAATGAGTTTACTCACATTCTGTTCACAATCGGATCCCAGAAGGCAGACTTATCTTAGAAAAGTAACGCACACTTGGAAACTATCTCATAAGGAGACAGTCCCTTTGTCCTCTCTTGGCCAAGAGAGCATCTTTGGCTAAGCAGATGTTGCTTCTTCAATGCATGTAGTCAAAAAGAGAGAGGTGACTGTCCTGCCCTGTGCTTTTGTCGTTACCTGCACAGGTGAGGCCACGCCCACCTCTAGTCACATGCAGAGAAAGTCTGTCCCAGCCCAGAAGGAAACAAACATTCCTTCCATGGCTGGACAAACATTCCTCCCCATGTGTAAACATGTTCACTCTAGGAATGTTGTACTTGACTACTCTTGTGTTTCACATCCCACAGCAATCACCCAGGATATCTTCAGGAGAAGAAGAGTCTCAGGAGTAGTCACCACACAAATCCAGAGTCCCTGAGTGGCGCCTTGTACGCCTCCTTCTGGCAACTCCTGCAGCCAAGCTGGTGCCCATCGTATTGTTCTGCTTTCCTTTGGACCCTGCCTTCTCCAGGATGTCCCCATTTTCATTGGAGGAATGTTGGTGCGTATGGGCTTCTGTTTGAAGACAGTTGTTTGGAGAGATTCGGAGAGGAGCATGAGAGGCAGAGGAGACTGCAGAGAAAGGGAGATGGAGTAAAAACGATGCTCAAAATCTGATCAAAAACCACACAGTTCTAAGCTTAAAAAAATGTTTAAGTATAACTTTATGAAAAATACAGAAGTTTTTCTACTAGGGATAACAGACATAGGTATAGCAAGAGAAGATCAGAAAACATTCCTCTATGCCACAGGAGCGGCAAGGATCCTAATTGCTAAAAACTGAAAAAAAGAAACTGTGCCAACAAAAAAGGAATGGCAAGACAAACTGTTAGAGTATATTGAACTGGCTAGATTAACAGAGGCAATTAGAGATCACACTAGACAAGAGTTTCAAAAAGCATGGGGAAAATGTAGAGAATACTTCACAAAACAGTACCCTAAAATACATACCTGGACTTGTTTCGACTAATGTCTGCAGGAGACTTTGTGGATATTTAAGTTATAATTAGAAAAATCTTCATAATTATTCATAAAGGAAACAGCTTATAAGAAGTAAATAAGGAGACCAGATCCAGGATAAAGGAAGTCTTTTATTTGGTTGTTTGTATTGTTGTATGTTATGTTTATTGTATTTCTGTACTGGGGGGGTGGGGGTTTATGTTATGTTGTAAATAAAATTTCCAATAAAAATTAAAATTAAAATTAAAAACCACACAGTTCTGTTGAATATGTTTCTGCACGGTGCAAAAGAACTTGGTGGGATCCGAAAGCTTGCCAGGGCATCCTTCGGCCATCAGAATCACACCCACTGCAAGATCCCCCCTTTTATCTCTTCCTCTCCAAACTTGCTATGGCAACAGCCGGTGGTCCCCTGGGTGCCTCTGAATGGAAGAGTCCAGGCTGGCAAGTCTTCCCTGGGCAAGACACCCTGTGGTCACCGAGCCTCCTGCCAACGTGTTTGTTTTGGAGAGGGCCCTGTGGCCTCGGATGCCACTCAACACACTTGTGGTGCTGTGATGGTTGCCAGGCTGGACGTCCTCCAAGGGGCACTCAGAAGTTCTCTAATCGCTGGAACTGGCCAGAGGCCAAGGCGGTAAAAGAAGCCAACAGCCAGCATCAGTAGAGTGGTCAGAAAGTTAATGAGGAGCAGAGGGTCAAGAGTCAACTTGGAATCTGGGCTCTCTGGCTGCTGTTTTCCCCTAACCCTGGGACTAGGGAAGGGGGTGTCTCTGCCGATTCCATTTCCTCTTGGTTTCTCGCTTTCTCCAGGCTTGAGTTCAGTTCTCCCCGTTTCTGCAAAAAAATTTTACATACAAAGAAATCCTCGTGACGATTTGCCAGATGTACACATTTTTGCAAGAGTTTCCCCAATATAATGCATTTTATACGTTGGTGTCGCTAATATGTGCATTTTTATGCACGCTTTCTCCTAATACAGAGAGATTTTTGTGTGTGCTTTATTTGGTGTGGGAGAACAGCTTCAACAAATTCAGAAACGGGCAGGTTTAACGGACAGCTGTGTTTCAGTTCACCGTGGTTTGGAAACTGAATTGGGTAGCTTTGTGTAAAAATCAAATCAAACCAAATTTCTCCCTCATTCCTCCTTATCGCAGGGTCTCAGAATCTGCACTTTGCACTTCCCCAGAAGCACTGCTTTATTGTTATTCCATGTCCTTCAGAATGATGCCTTAGTACCCAAAAGTAGATTCTGGGTCTATTATTACCACTCTCTGGCTAGTGGTTTCCCCCAGCCCTGAGAGAGACAGGCTTGTTGCTTAGCAGGCAAAGATTTGCACTCTGCACATGCTCAAAAGCACTGCTGTTCTATTATTATTCTGTGTGTTTCAGAGGTACATTCTCGTACCCAGAAATAGATTCCAGGTCTTCACGTGTCTAAAATGGCCAGGACAGAACACGCAACTGTCAGGTGGCGCACGTTGGCTGTGGACAAGGGATCGTGACAGGTTGCCGGGTATTGAAGATGAAGGGGGGGCACTCCCTACACCCCAGTAAGACCCCTGTGCCATCTAAAGCAGTAGCAAAGCCCATCTATTATGCTTCAGAGTTTTATAATAAGAGAAGTCCAAACATCGAATACCTATTGACTTGCGCCTATCCCCAAATTTGAATTTCCTCCTGTCCTGCAGCTATCTAGGACAAACCACTAAACCCTTAGGAAATTTCCCAAGATCCAGAAAGTTAGTTTCAGGAGGGAAGTCCATCTGAAGCACTAAGAGGCTGTAGATGACTTTGCTAAAGGCTGGGAATCCTGGACAGGATCCAAGAGCAAGGAATTGACCTATTGTGCTTGAGGCTGAATAATCCCTGTGGGAAATCGCATCTGGTTCCTATTACGGAGGGTGAATAACTCAGATCAACTTTTGAGCAGCAGCTGCATTGAACATGGCTTCCTCTCCAGACCCAATTTTAAAGGGTTTAACCTCTAAAAGGAAGCTAGGGAGCCTGCTGGCCACCAGATATGGCTGACCTCAAGATCCCATGGTCCTTGACTATTTAGCAGAGCTGGCTAGGACTGATGGGAGTTGTAATTCCACAACATCTGGACGGCACCAGGTTGGCAATGCCTGCCCCATGTGACAGGGTGCTTTATAACTGTGCAAACCTAAATTCCCAGTATGTCCTGAGTCATCTTAATTCTGCACAACTTACTGAAGATCATGTTTTGCAGCTGAGAACAAGCTTCCCAGATGTTGTGGCTTAATATTTGGGGCAAGAGGGGGAGCTGCAACAGAGGACGGAGGCCGACAAGGCTGTATATTGTCTCCCTGCTTATTTACCTTAAATGCAGAATTCATCATGCAAAAGGCTGGGCTGGATGAATCCCAAGCCATAATTAAGATTGCTGGAAGAAATATCAACAACCTCAGATATGCAGATGACACAACCTTGATGGCAAAAATGTGGAGGAATTAAAGAACCTTTTAATGAAGGTGAAAGAGGAGAGCGCAAAATATGGTTTGAAGTTCAATGTCAAAAACACGAAGATCATGGCCACTGGGCCCATCACCTCCTGGCAAATAGAAGGGGAAGAAATGGAGGCAGTGAGAGATTTGACTTTCTTGGGCTCCGTGATCACTGCAGATGGTGACAGCAGTCACGAAATTAAAAGACGCCTGCTTCTTGGGAGAAAAGCAATGACAAACTTAGACAGCATCTTAAAAAGCAGAGACATCACTTTGCCAACAAAGGTTCATATAGTCAAAGCTATGGTCTTCCCAGTAGTGACCCCTCTTCGTGACCCCCTGGACCAGAGCACGCCAGGCACTCCTGTCTTCCACTGCCTCCCGCAGTTTGGTCAATCTCATGCTGGTAGCTTCGAGGACACTGTCCAACCATCTCTGTCGTCCCCTTCTCCTTGTGCCCTCCATCTTTCCCAACATCAGGGTCTTTTCCAGGGAGTCTTCTCTTCTCATGAGGTGGCCAAAGTATTGGAGCCTCAGCTTCAGGATCTGTCCTTCCAGTAAGAACTCAGGGCTGATTTCCTTCAGACTGGATTGGTTTGATCTTCTTGCAGTCCATGGGACTCTCAAGAGTCTCCTCCAGCACCATAATTCAAAAGCATCCATTCTTCGGCGATCAGCCTTCTTTATGGTCCAGCTCTCACATACTGTGTCCAATTTAAGAAGGATCTTGATAAGCTGGAACATGTGCAGAGGAGGGCGACCAAGATGATCAAGGGTCTGGAAATTAAGCCTTATGAGGAGTGATTGAAGGAGCTGGGTATGTTTAGCCTGGAGAGGAGATATGATAGCCATCTTCAAATATCTCAAAGGTTGTCGCATGGAAGGAGGAACAAGCTTGTTTTCTCCTGCTCTGGAGGGTAGGACTCGAACCCATGGCTTCAAGTTACACGAAATGGGATTCCAGCTGAACATGAGGAAGAACCTTCTGATGGTAATAGGTTTTTGACAGGGGAACGGATGCCCTCAGGAGGTTGTAGACTCTCCTTCCTTGGAAGTTTTAAAGCAGAGACCATCTGTCATAGATGCTTCTATTATTCTAAGACAAAGGGATTTTGAGATGTGCAAATAAAAAGACAGTGGTCCAGGTCTAATCTCCTTTGGTTGTGGACTTGGAAGGAAGCAAAAGTGCATACGATTTACTGGGTGAGCTGATAGAATCTAGAGTAGGAACGCCGTGCCTCTCAAGCTAAAGCAGAATGACTAAACACTTTGGCAAATTCAGCAGTGAAATTGGCCACAAGGAGGAAGAGATGACCCATAAATTCTCAGAAGATCAAATCAGAGCTTCATAAAAACTGACAGCTTCAAACTGGCTGAACTTTGCGGAGTTTGGGATCGATCCTTGTCATCGTCCCTTTATTTTGTTCTGTGTGTTGTTGTGGTTGTTTCTTCTGGCTTCAGTCTGGCATTCTCAAGATGACTCAGTTTGGCACTTCAGCCAAGAGCTGAGCTTGTCAAATCTAAACAAAGCACTTTCCAAGAAACAGTTTGCAGCTCTCCTGCAAACTAATGGTCTTTCAGACAGCTGTTCATTTGCCACTTAGGCAAACCCTCATAGAATGATAGAGTTGGAAGGGACCCCGAGGGTCATCTAGTTCAACTCCCTGCAAAGGCAACACAACCAAAGCATCCATGACAGA